CCTCAGTACAGATCCTAGAAGTGTACGTTATCGTAAAAAAAAAAAATTCAAGCTTTAGATAATGAATCAAATGTACGTAATAGAGGCAAGGGGGGGGGGGGGGGGGGGGGGGCGCGTATCGCAGTAATTAGAGAGGCCCTGCGATACACATGGGTTCGATCTCGTCCCATGCTCACCAAGCCTTCCATCCCTCCGTGGTCGGCAAATTTGTACGAAACCTCTTTTGGAGGATAGCAGCATTGACTCGATACACTGGAAAGCCACCGCGAGTTGCTGTATGAGCCAGGTATGTATTCAATCAGCTCTAACGATGTTTGATGTAGTCCACCGCAAGGCGCATCTGCTATGGTCTGATCAACACCAAAAGCTTTATGCTTTACACTCATTGGTCGTATATGAGAATCACACCCTGCTAAGAATCGCAACTCCACATAGGACTTCTACATCATTTGTTTAAATCGTAGATCACTAAACATGTCTCTGAGCACAACATTTAAAACATCGGTGTAAAATGTTATGGAAGACTTGATAACTATTTCTGAAGACAAAGTGTGTCGAACTATTTCGATGAACACAAATTCTGTGAACACCACACCACTATGGAGAATTCTTCCAAGCGATTTATCGTCTTATTATAGTGAAAAGACGTCTATGCCAGTACAGTAAGGTACAGAGAAGAGACGACATATTTCTGCACTCTCTTAACCAGCAACATTTTGAGTGGTGGCTGTGTACTCTCTTCACCAGCAACAGTCCCTTGTCCCAAATTCCTCCATGCAACATGTTTTTTTTGTTTGGAAAACTGTTAAGTTGCTAATCGTAAAGACTATATCTCTCTCTTCTCTGCATGCATGCATTGAAATCAATACAACTCGCACGTCATGTGTACAAATGACTGCCGGAAGCAATCGATAGACGACTGCTTTCATTGTGGACGAAGCGATATGCTATCGACCACCCGGCATAAACTAGTGGCATTTGTTGTGCTGTACGATGACGTTTGACGTAAGAGAGTGTAGTTTCTCCACAATACATTTATTCTCCTCTCATAAAATATTACGACAGGTGTTAACAAGATCAGGAATACTGAAGAATATGTCCAGGCAAGAGAACAGTCTTAAGTGGGACTAAAGTCCATTGGAAACTTCATGTTTTGTTCTATTTTTGACTATATGTTGCATATTAGTGAAGAAAACACATAAAGAATCACCTGGTTGCGTTTACAAACTATAAATGAACGCTTAGAAAATCACAAATATACAACGGACTTTCTTAAGAATGTTCATGGTATGTTATGGCACAACCCTATAGTTCTCTAACCCCGCTATCCTACGACTCCAGCGAGAATATACTCGGAAAATAGACCAGCATTCAAGTACATTCATAAAGAAGACGACAATTCTTCAGCAACAATCGAAGCCACAGGAGAAAAGTTTCGAGGACTTTCGCCAGTGATGGGATAGTAGGAAACGAATCGAGTACAGGAAGCGCTGGAAAGCGCCCCATAGAAGTGAAGACGGATCGTTTAAGACAAAACAATCAAAATAGACAATAATCTTCTTAACGAAGGAAGAACATTTCTTAGGAACGGAGTTCCAAGATAATCCAATTTCTAGTGAAGTAAGCCTTTATATAGAGAGAAGCGAATGAGCTTGTAGAAGTATAATCAACAACTACGTCACGTTATCGAAAAACTCGCCAAAACCCTCGAAAACAAACCACACATGAAGACAAATCACTCAGAGCATTCAAGCTCGAACAATGTGGTATCGATCAACGACTTCCTCCTATTTACACACTACGAAACTGGACACGGCCAGCACGACTCCTATTTCAACGTTATTCATGGTTTACAGTATGTGAAGTTTTTTTATCGTAGAAAAAAACTGAACAGATAGAAGAATGAAGTGGTTTTGCCCACCATAGTGAATCTGAAGAGTCCGAGAGGGCGTACTTTTGCAACACGTGACATTCGGGCATTCGTGCGGGCAGCTGGAATGGCATCTTCGAACACATTGATCGAGAAGTAGTTCTTAGACAACAAAATCGACAACTGTAACCGTCCTCATTCGTAGTCCAGCGTTAACCATGCTGTAGACTACAACAGGTGGTAGAAACAGGCATGGCTGCCATGTCTAGCATGTCAGGCTTCTTGAGTAGTACTGCAAGGTGTTCGTTTCAGGCATACATGGATCAGTCCCCGTTCTATATCCGTTTGTTTGCACACTGTTGGACGAATCCATATGCAGGAGATAACCTATGTACACCCACTCGATCCATCCCACCCAACCAGACATGATTTGAGGTCTACAGCGTGTGTCGTTCAATTCGTATGTCACAAACAGCAAACCCACTCCCTTAACTCACTGGAGTCCCATGGCAAAGTACTTCCGGTGCACGTTTAGCTAGCATATTCACTACATAGCCGACTAACTCACTTGAGGTCCCTCACATTAGAGAGATCTATGGAAACAACTATACGTATGTACAACTTAGTGTTGTTTTAAATGTATGAAGAACATCTCAACCCCTCAAACCCTAGCAATTCGAAAAATTGATCTCGCACTACTATGACGGGAAAAATAAGGTAATAACAAGAAGAAGGTGAACGATGGTAAAACATGAAGAAAAATTTGCTAAGGTCCAGTACCATACGAATGGTCAGTAGGAATACCACCGTACTAAAAGGCACATTACTATCATTTATACAACTTCATTAACACCATAAAGCATTAAAGTAACCGACGCAATGGAAAGAAATACAATGTTTGAGAGAAACAAAACTATTCAATACTAAATGGGGCAAACTGTAGGGTTAAAATATCACAGTTGAGATACACCACGATCTGAATTCCACAACATAAAGCCCACAAACCAAAAAAAAATAAGGTGATAAGGATTAAAACTTTAGAAAACTCCTCCCATACAACTTGATACGCATTCTACTAAAGATGTAACCAGTAACAATTGCCCAAAGTACCGCTGAATGGCAATGAAGCGTAGAAAGAAACGAACAAACCCACCCAAAGACACGGGTATAAATAGATCGAAGAAAGACTGAAAAATGAATGTCACTAACTTTAAGGGTTCTAAACAGAAAGAAAAAAGATAGCACTGATTGAAAATATGGGGTAGTGAACCAATTACAAACCAATCAAACATCCGTAATGATCCACTTGACTAGTTTCTCATTAGGAAATGAATAAAAAGAAACAGACGAGCTGTTAGTATCTGTTAGAAATCAACGCATCTGCGATAACACACTACGGTTACAATAAGGAAACAACTCATCAAAAGCATGGTACTAAGGATACAAAGAATAATCACCAAATTATATCAAACAGCTATAAATTTTAACAACCAATATCCACAGCGACAACACCAGTGGATGAAAAAAAATGTTAAAAAGAGGAAGAAAAATACATTAAAACTGAATACTACACAAACCAGATATACAACTTGCTTACTTCACCGAAGTGTAGCTACTAAGTGTACCAAAGCACTACTGTATCATGAGCGTGCCAGACGTAACACTCACTAGCTGTCTACAGATTTTGCATTATAGCGCTCTGTTCCCGTATGGAATTACCTTACTATTCTGAGCTCCTCTTAAACGCATAAGCCCGGCATGAACAGCATAATGTCTATGGATAGTGGCCCGAGTGGACGACGTGAACACAATGATGTTCATTTTCAGCTCAGCGAGTTCGTTTTTTCACTGCATTATGTACATTCACTCCATAAGTAACCGAAAATAGATCAAAATAGGTGGGGTCAGACCAAAGAAGCCGTTCTCTGCATCTAATGTCCTGCAAACAACCTTCCTTCAGAAAACTTCACTGTTCGACTAACAGCTACTAGCTTTAAAAAAGCTAGCTTTGAAATAATACTTAGTTATTACTTCATTTTAATCACTACTGTTGTTCTACGGAAAGTGCGGACACGAAAAACACCGAAAGAGACTCAATATAGAGTACAACATATTTCCAAATGTTGTCAATGCACCCGTATCGAATTACTTTACTACGATGAGGTACCTTTTAACCCACATCGCCCACTATGGACAGCATAGTGCCCATAGATGGTGGCAAAAGTGGACGATATGAACACTTTGATGTTCATTTCCAGTTCAGTGAATTCCAGAGTTCTTTCATCGCAGTGAGTAAATTCAACTGATAATCGATCGAAAACGAATAAAATAGGATGGGTCAGACCATAAGAACCTTTCTCTATACCTAGTAAATTACAAAAAAACTTTCATCAAAAAAGACCATTGATCGGTTAATAGCTAATAGCTTTAAAAAAGTTAGCTTTGAAATGTTCACTTTAATGAATAGTATTATTGTACGGAACGTGCGGATACGAAAAGAATCCTGAAATAGACTCAACAGAGGATACAACGTCCATCCAAGTTCTGCGAACCATGTATTTGTCTTATGGACCATAGTCACATACAGTAAATAGTGGCACTCATATTACTATCACAGAATAATTAGAGCAAAGCCTCTTCTACAATCCTGTCATGTCTACAACCTCTCAAATTGTCTAGTTAACGGAAAACTATTTTTATTGCCAAAAAAGCAGAGTCCGCAATGCTTGTTTTCCAGTGGACCAGCAGCGCTAACGTCGACCGTCTGCTATGGATTAGAAATACCTGCATGGAAGATATTTTTCGATGATATTAATCAGTGACTCTACACGAGTTTACGCCTAGGTAGTCGCCACAAGAACATTTTTGAGTGACATTTCCCTCATTCCTGAACGAAGAAATACCTTTCTAAACAGCCATAATAGAAACATGAACAAAACGACATGCGTAATGCGCGAGAAAGAACATAGCCCACACAACTGTAATACTTCAACATCGAAGTATAGTAGTAGAAGTATCCGGAAATCAAAATTCTATACGACGGTTAGGACCTTCAATCACTGCGATATCGGAATAATCAAAAATGACTGCTTCAGAAAGAGGAAATATGACGTATAGATACCGACAATACCTATAGAAACAGATTTGCCTTCATTGTACTTCGGACCATCCTCACCATTGATTGTGACGAGGAATACGTAAAGATACTGAATATCACTAAAGAAGCACCGAACAGAAATTGAGCCGTTGGTTGAAAACCGAAGAATACTATTGAGCCAATGGTGGCCAGAATAATAGCTACGGATGTCGCAAAATTCTTTGCAATGTTGTCCGCATACTTGATGCAAACTGCCACAGAAAGACCTAAAGGTGGAGAAAATAGGTCGAAGTTCTTTCAAACCCAACCAAATACCACCAAATGCAAAAAAAAAGAAACTTTATCCAGATAGGAAAAATATTATACATTAAGTGAACAATAATGCATATATGAAAGAATCCAACCTCCAATACAATACCAAAGAACCGTTAACCACACAACCCAATCAAAGCCGTATAATAAGCCTTCCCTGGCCACAACGTTTCCGTCCTATAAAGCAAATTCATTTATTTACACAAACATAGAATCCAGCACATATTCACAGATTTTCACGACTTGATCGATGATAAAACTAAACTAGAATGAAATGAACGTCGCATCTAAAGGCTTCAAAGAAGCTGGAATCTTTTCTGGATGTTCAAGTTAACACTTAGGCTTCGATGGTAGAATGTTGACCAGTCCATTTATAGGAGCTCACAAAAAAATCGCGCATTTAATAAGCCAAACTTTCTACTGAGATATAAACTTATTTTTCCTGTTTCTCTTCAACCGTTTCGGAACGCATTAAAAGATTAAAGAATAAATCTCTCGGCGTTGAGTGTCGAGCCGCGATGTACATCGGGAGGATTCATCTCCTGGCAGTATCTCCCAAGCTGAGGAGAGCAGCGTTTCCATCAGGAACCCTAGCTAAGAGTAAACCAATACCAGGATCCACCACCGTCCTGGTATCAAAGTCGCATTTTGATAAATCCCCCTCTGATCCACAAGGGTTGCGACTGCCTGCCATGGTGACGACCTGGGGCATACTTTGGCCAGGCTGACCTCGGGATTCCAGGGAACCACAATGGCTTAACCAGCAAATAACCGAAAAATGGCGATTGCACTGGAGCCCGAACAACCACTAAGGACGGGCCATACGAGTATCAAGTACCAAGTTGATCAATCCCTGAGGATTGCGCCATGCATTCGACTCCATTAGGCATGGTTGAAGGTGATTGAATGCATGTCTAACCTTTAAAATGACTGGCGGTGGCCTGCTGATATATCGAGCCAGTGCTGCTATCTCCCAGACAAGTCCGGTACCAATTTGCCGACATGGAAGGGTTGGTGAGCATGTGGCGCGGAAATCGATCCCATGTGTACCGCGGGGCGCCTTCGGAACTGCGTTACACGCACCCCCGGAACTTATTAACTAATCAGGATGTGATGACGTCACATTTATACTGTTTAAGTCAGCATCGAAATAGGATTCAACGTTGTTCAGTATTCAGACATTCTGTATACCTCGACACGAAAACGGAACAAGATCCCCATCCATGTAAATATGTCTTTACATTTCCATAAAGCACGAACTTTACGAGTTTTTAAGAAAGAGACGAATATCCCAGACCGTCGTTTCAAGGCTGTCTATTTGAAATTGAAGCAAAAAACGAACAACTGTAAATAAGCACTACTTTTGAAGAGCTTTCCATTTCCTGGGTAGAAAAAGTAGTTTAGAACGGAAAGTTCAAAAAAGAGGTAATGAAGAAGAAGTTGCTTTGTCCTAATAAAGTCGAATGTTCAAAAGCCTCCTACTAACTTGCCAAATGACAGCCGCAAACGATGAAGGAATTGCGAAGACACACATCTGAACATTTCGCATCCACAATGACACTGGTGCCGATCCTTTCAAAATCTTCTCGAAATAGATTCCAGCAAATCCAGAAAGACAGCAAGCTATCACAACTGCCATAAAACCTCAAAGCATGCATTTCTAACAATGAAGAAAATGCATTGATAACAAAAACATGCACCATATTATACACTTTACATGATGAATGGAAATGCAACATAAGAAATCTTAAGCGTGAAAATTAATAATACTGGTAGCACCAAAAGTCCAGAAATTACCGATTACAGGCTTTTCACCGCCCAATCCTGATGCATCTGATTTCGACGACTGTAACTGGACTAGAGACACACCGGTAAAGAGGATAAGCAAGGCGAACCTGAATTTCAAAGAAATATGTATGCAAATGAAAATAAGGAGCTTCTCATGAAATCATGAAGTAGCGAAAACCCAAATGTTGAAATTAGTTAGCGAAGTGTACTACAAAAAGTGACAAGCCAATGCATCGCTTTACACAGTATATAAAGAAAAACTTCACATTCTTCACTTCATATTACCATTTTGACAACAATGTTTTCCTAACGGACCGACCTTACTGAGCTGACGTTTCACCGAGTCCACCTTATTCACAGCCTAGACGTAATATGCGGTACGCTATCCACATAACCTCAATCATGTTGAGATGTTTGCAAAACGTGGACCCAAAGCCAGGTCGAACCGCGATTACTCTTGCCGGGGACTCATGCGTTAGGCAGAGTACGACTAAGGCCTTCGTTTTACCCACCTTTCAGCCAGTTCTCTACCTAACGCTGCCATCAGTTATTACCCGATAACGGGACTGATCTGTAGAGCACAAACGGGACTAAACCCAGTCAAGCTGAGGTTGTAGTCAAGATCAAAGATGAATGAGAGAGGGAGGATGAGGACCCCAGTGTTACCGTGCACAACATCTGAGTTCCCCGAGAGGTTAATCGTGGTTCGATCCCGCTTGGTGTCCATGTTTTGCAAATATCTCAGCATCAGTGTGGTTGTAGTTCACATAATACCCTGCCGTGAAAAAAAAATGAGCAGTCAATAAAAAGTTGCACATCGTGCTATCCATATAATTCGATGAATTATGTATTGTACCACTGAAGATCTATTATATAAATCAAACGCCACTATAAAACCACTCACCGTTTTATTAAGTGAGGAAACACCTGAATGTTGTTCACGTGTAATCATGAGTGAAACCCACCCAAATCAAAAAACCAATCTTTGAATAGGCGAAAGCTCACGTGTGATAGCGAGGCGTCCATTTTTCTGTCCATATTTGGATTTTTGAAATTTATCCGAAACGCTTCAATAGTCTTACCTGTTCATGTTTTTGATTCCTGCGACAGGATCCTGACAGTCATTATCACTGTGCTTTTGTGTCGTATGTGTGCTTACAGGGCTGCTTTGGCCAATTTCACGTTACCAACCCAGATCTTCTTTTATGCAGACACAAAGTGGTCTACTCGTTTCCTCAATGTATTCTTCACACGTGACCAGGCACCTCTATTCAAATTGATTTTTTGACCAAGGTGGGTCTCAGTCACCATCCTACGTGAACAACATATGGGTGGTCGTACAAGTACTAAAACTGCGGGTAGTTTTTTTCAAACAAAGTGGGGTACCTTGACATATTTGAACTTCGTTACTGCTATAAATAGTCACCGAATTATATGGACACCGTTACATAAGATAAGTTCACACTCTGAAGAAGGCGAAGTCGTCGAAACGTCAGCCACAGAATCACAACAACAACTTATACCAACCTCGTTCCAACTCGAGGGCAGATCAGAAGAATTATATATACTGATTATTAATTCCGAGGTTTATATAAAGTTGGTATTTCGAAAGTAGTTTTTAATTTCATGTTGCATGACCCATCATCATATCTACTGTGCGGATCTCAGCATTTTTCCCACTGGATTCGCTCCCTCGCATCCATAATCATGAAGACCTTGGAACATTTTGCGTATACTTCGGTTGCTACTTGAGGATTTGCTTTTTTGTGAGTGTTGTATTACGGTGGTCGAGTCGATCTCCATGCAATTTTGACGATAGTCGAGCCAAAGCGTTTCTACGTTGACTGGATAAAGCATTGTGAAGGAGCTGAACCAGCAACTTGCTTGCTGATGGACTGCATCAATGACCACTGTGCTATCACCCCCGCCCTAATGTTGTTTGCTTGACCAAAATTTATGAAACCCAAAAACCTTACAGCTAACAACAATGTACTTTATCTGAGCTTCTAAAAACATACGATACAGTAATTCTTCGTATATTTGTTGAGCAAACGCGAGGTGTTACTATTCTTTATTCACGAATAAGCTGACGTTTCGGCGGATTTCGCTTTCCTCAGAGCCGCTTTCTATGAGGTTTCCACTAAGTACGTCACGTAGAGACCAACCGCACAGAAATTACATAAGTATAATGTGGCACATTATGTTGGCACATTATGCTTCCATGCTTTGGCCGATTTCACGTCCTTTCATTATACTTCCAAGGCGAAATCCGCCGAAACGTCAGCTTATTCGTGAATAAAGAATAATAACACCTCGCCTTTGCTCAACAAAAATACGAAGAATTACTTGATCAATGCCGAGGTTAATAGAAAGTCGGTCGTGGGAGTTACTGCAATACGATACAGTATCATACTTGCTTATATTCGATACTTGAATGCCCCATCCTCACTGGTTCTGCGGGCCCCAGCATAATCTCCGATCTTCGGAGATTTGCTGGCTAAGCCATTGTGGTTCCCTAGAATCCCGAGGTCAGCCTGGCCAAAGTCTGTCCCAGGTCTTCACTACCACAGGCAGTCGCAGCCCTTGTAGATCAGCAGGAGAATTGCCAGCACGCGACTTTTATACCAGGGCGATGGTGGATCCTGGTATTGGTCTACTCTTAGCTAGACTTCCTGATGGAAACGCCGAACTCCTCAGCTTGAGAGACCCTGCCCTGCCAGGGATACGAATCCCCCACTGTTCATCACAGCCCGACATCCATGAACACCTCCCAGTCACGATGAGAGGGTAAGCCGTTGGCAGCGAACCGTTGGATACGATACAGTATACTCTTTAAAAAACCCCATGTTGACTATCAACAGAGTTAAAGGATAGTCATACAGGTTTTCATTTCGCCGATGGTGTGAAACAAAAAATCTTCTGTGAGATCTTGTCTACAAGATCTCAAACTTTAGCATTTTCACTGTGGTAGCTTGTTTAAGCTAAGTGCGACTTCAACAAAACCAATAATCTAAGGTGAAAAACATTTCTCTGTACACAATCGCTATTTGTCTAGAAAATAGTTGCATCCATACGCGTGTATGAATGATAGGACTGCTATATGCAGCGCGATTTCTTACGCACCAAAACGAAAGAGTTCTTTCCATTAAGAACTTTGTATATGATATAACGTATGCCATTAACTTTTTAGAAAGTAAGTGATTTAATGCCTATATATCCAATAAATACGATTTGAGGTGGCCTATCAATGCAGCAAGTCAGTTGTGCTATCCTCCCAGAGAAGTCTAGTAACAATTTGCTGATTCCTGAGGAATGGAAGGCACAGTCGTCCCAGAGTGGTGGGGTATTGAACCAGCGACAATCTGTGCATTTATATTGCAGGGCAGCTCTAACCACTGCGCTACACAGGCCCATATTGGACAAATAACTTCCTTACTGATTTTGAATTGAAATCTACTGCAGGAGTTACATTCTTTAGCTGGCTCACCAAAACTGAGGAGTACGTCTACATCCGGAAGTTATTTTTTCATATTACGCGACATTACATTTAACGCGGATCCCAACACTTCCCCAATTTCAATCGTTTTCTTGCACCATCGTCCACGGAGGTCCCTAAACGTTTACCTGTGAGTTCGACCACTTCCTGAGCATTTTTTTCATTCCCTCTGTAATCGCGGCATAGCCCTTACACACTCGCTTTCCGGTTTCCACCACAGGGTGTGCCCACTCTGCGAAATAAGCGGAAGTAGTTTCTCCCAGACAAGTGTGGTCCCAGTTTCCTGTCCCAGAGGGTTAGCATGCTTGCTTGAGCCGTTTCGGGACCGAGACAATGCCTTAAGAGCTAAAGGATAAAGCTCACGGCGTTGATCAATCTCCGGGGATGCGCCACGCATTCGACTTCATTAAGCATTATTTGGAGGTGATTGAACGCATATCTGGCCTCTACAATGACCCGCGGTGACCTACCGATGTATCGAACCAGTGCTGCTATCCTCTTAGACAAGTGTGCAACCAATTTGCTAACCCCGGAAGGATTGGAAGGCTTGGTGGGCCATGGGTGCGGGAATCGATTCCACGTGTATGCTGCAATGCAATTCCAACCACTGAGCCACTTTCAATGCTCAATATAATGCCTTACAAGTATTGAAATGCTCTATTACGGTGCTTCGTACGCCCTAAAGTTATATTAAAAATAAAGAAATGCCAGGAGTCTCAAGGTGAACAATTTTCTTTAGATCTAGATTAGCAGAGAGATTAGCAGATTGTTTAGCGACCCCCCAACGGTTTACCGCCTCATGCTGGATGGGAGGTGTTCGCTGGTGTCAGACTGCGATGTATAGCGGGGAGATTCGTCCGCCGGTGGGTCTCCCAGTCTGAGGAGCCCGGCGTTTCCATCAGGAAGCCTAGCTAAGAGTAATCCAATACCATGATCCACCACAGTCTTGGTATCAAAATCGCACGGTGGCAATTTTCCCTCTGATCCACAAGGGCTGCAACTGCCTGTCATAGTAATGATCTGGGGCAGACTTTGGTCAGGCTGTCCTTGGGATTCCAGGGAACCACAATGGCTTAACCAGCAAATCTCCGAAAAATGGAGATTATCCAGGGGCACACAACTAGTGAGGACAGGCCGTTCAACTAAGTATATTTAGCGACTAGCCGGGAGTGTTCGCTTAGAATTCCATGAGAGGAAAAAAATCCTACTAAGCGGCGAAAACACTGGTCAAATAGGAGACCGTGCTAGGTACTCAGTCAGTAAAATGTTTTTTAAAGACTACATAGCCAATATCCTGATAAGAAGTGGTCTGCTGAAATAAACAATAGGGAAGTTTATCTTACACAGTTTTATTTAAGAGCTAGCAGAAATTGTTACCCATCTATTAACAACACATAAACAAGATGGAATGTCATCACTAACCACTGCGCTCGGGTTAAAGATCGGTGCAGAATAATAACAGTGAAAATAGCAGCAGTAAATATCTTTAGTTGTGAAGTGATCTGAAACTTGTTGCATATCTTTGTTAAACACTCCAAAATCAACCGTTATGAAGTCGAATGTCGCATAAAAATTGTAAAGAAGGTAGTAAGCAGAAGTTTTCATCAAAACACACTAACACTACCATTGAACAGAAACTCTACGTGATCAATCCCTGAAGGATGCGCCATGCGTTCGACTTCATTAAGCATCACTGGATGTGATTTAATGCATATCTCGCCTTTACAATAACTCGCGGTGGCCTCCCGATATATGCAGCTCTTATCCTCCCAGACAAGTCTACTACCAATTCGCCGATTCCGGAATGGAGGGATGGGCGAGCCTGGGGTGAAGACATTGATACATACGTGTATTGCAGGGTGCCTCCGACAACTGCACTATACGCGCCGCTTGGACCCTAATGAGTTATTTGTTTGCACAAACATCAAATGAGTTTCGACACGATTCCGACTAACCATGAATGTAGCTGCGTCCAAATGTGATGCAGCAACGTAGAATAAATTATTTTGCACCATGTACACCATCGCGGGAATACACACTTTAAGCGTGTCATATGGTTGTCGTACAACCTGATCCATGATTGTAGGGAGAAACCTAAACATGTTTCCTTCCAAAAATACACCAACTATAACGATCGACAGAGTAAAAGAAATGTTTTAGAGTCAAATCATTCAAGCATACCGTTTTGGAGTCTCATCCTGAAGAACAAATCCGAGACAAACGAACAATTTCATGACTTCTGTGAAAAATACAGCAACTGTTGGTAAGAACATATGTTCTACCTGACGAGCTCTGGAGTATCTGTAAGAGGAAAAACGCTGTTAGAATGGAATTCTTACAGCATGTAAGCTTCCGGGTAGTGTTTCATAATTTCATATACTGCTTATTTAATTTTTTGAGAACAGGTCAATTATAATGCTGACATTGTTAGTCGATGGCTGACGTTTCGGCGAGTTTGCCTTCCTTCGATTTCGCCACCAGCAACAACAACGACAAGAACGGAACAACAACAACAACAACAACAACAACACCGACAACACCAACGGCAACTTATGCTTATACTTCGTATTCCTTATCATATATAAGCACGCTGTCAACACTTTGAAAACTTCGAGTGAAATGTGGAGAAACTCCGTACCGAATTAACAACGTATGGATGCTATTCTGTAGGGTGAGCCAAACGAGAACTGCCGTTCGCATGTTGCCAGTAGCCTGTGCGCTTTCGTAAGAAATTTTGACGTTAGTGGCCTGAATATTTAAATATCTTAACAAAACCAGCTACATTTTAGCTTACAAAAACAGCAACCATATATGGGTTGCAAAATTTCACAGCTTTTTCAACAAGTTTCACACATCTTTATAAAAATGAGGTAGAATTACGTGTATCCTCACCCCAGTAACAAATACGTCTCCAATTATGATAAATCGACCACGCATAGGAATATTATTGTAAAGACAATAGTAGAAGTGAAAGGGTCTCGATCGACCTATCTTGAACCTTCGCTCAAGTGATCAGACAGCCCTAAACTGCAGAGACTGAAAGCTAAAGCGCGCGGGGTATGTATCACCTCAAACAAGGACTTCCTCCAAGTCTATAGACAATGAAGACGCGGAGATTGTATCGTACAGGATGTGCCTAACCATCAACAGATCTAGTCCGAATACAAAGAAATTGTTGTAGTTCAACGTTAAAGATGCTTTAAGTACCCTAGTAGAACACCAATACTTAAAAACGAAGCCTGGAATAATTTTATTTTTCTAAGTCTGAAAACCTATCCATCTCTTCATTTTCACAAAAAAACATTCGACTATTGAAAAAGTAGCAAGATTTACCACGGTCACACAGGTAAGGAACATAGTTTCCATTAAAAATTTAAGCCTTTATAACGGATTCCAACTAATAATCAGAAAACAAGTGGGCTCGTATACTCTATACGGCCAACTTATTCGTTCTTTACCTGCACATAAGCATGAACTCAAAGCTCTAGTTGTCGAATAAATTACGTAATGAAAATCTTCCAACGATAAACGATGTTGAGACATTAACAACACTTGGATTTCACTGGAAGATGGATAAGTTGTATCACCGGTTCTCCCTTCTGAAATCCGACATTCCATTTCATCGGTGAAAAATCGACAAGTATCAGATCCGGACAGAAAAGATCTCAACAACTGAACAACTCTCCGGCAGTCCTCATAAAAAAACGGGCTCGGTTATTCACGCATTACCTGCCTAGATGCAAGGTCCCTACTCAATGGAAAACCAGCAAGACCGTGCAACTGTCGAAGAAGGGTGACCTCCACGACATTGGCAACTATCGCCTAATCTGCTTGCTGTGCGTCGTCTACAAACTTTTCGCTCTAAACAGGATTGAGAGAACACTAGACCAACAACAGCCATGTAAGCATTTCCAAAAGCGATTCAGTACGATGGACCATATCCACACGATACCAAGACTCACTGAAGTATCGCGTGAGTTCAAAAGACCGTTCTGTCTCAGTTTCATCGATTTAAAGAAGACCTTTGACTCAACTGAGATATCAACAGTCATGGAAGCTCTTGATAGCCAAGGAGTCTCTACTCAGTACATAAAGATTTTTCGTAAGATGTACAAAAATTTCCCAACCAAGATATCACCATTCTACAACGATATTAATACTGACGTCAAAAGAGGTGTTAGGCAAGGCGATACCAACTCGCCAAAATTGTCTACCGCCACCCTCCAGAACGTCATACGAACATTAGAATGGAATAATATGGGAGTGAAAATCGGCGATCGGCAATTACACCATCTTCGCATTGCTGATGACATCATCCTTATAACACCAAACATTAGCCAAGTGGAACGTATGCTTGACGACTTTGATAAAGTCTGTGAAAAGACTGGTCTTCGACTAAATCTCACAAAAAAGATATTCATGAGGAATGGATTGGTTTCGTATGTCCCATTCACACTCAACGGAATGAATATTTCTGAATGTTCCGGCAATGCCTACCAAGGTAGGGAAGTAAACTTGCTTGAACGACTTAGCTCCAAAGCTGAGCAGGATGAAGCGAGCGACTTGAAGAGCTTTCAATAGCGTCAAGGATGTAGTGAAGAGTACTAGGAACACACGGTTCCATGCCCACCTTTTCGACTCAACGACTATTCATGCTTTAACGTATGTATCCAAAACTGGTCGCTTCGTAAGCAGAATGAAAGATCACTCACTTTTATTGAACGGGCAGTCGATAGGACGATAATGCTACTAGTACCCGTGTCACACAATTGAAGAAAAGAATCCGATTCTCTAACCTGAGTCAACGATGAAGAATCAAAGATACCATTCTCTACGCCAAAAAGTTGAAGTTGCGTCGGACACGTAATGCGTGCGAAGGACAACCGATGGACAAGAGCCGTTAGTTCTTCCACGGGATGTTAAACGTACTGCAGGAACACTATCGACCCGATGGTCAGAGTTCTTCACGAAAATCCTAGAAGAAAGGTATGATGCTCAACGAGCCAATAGACCGAGCAGCACCTACTGGGCTATTCTTGCGCACGACTGGGAAAAATGGAAGATTTGCTGGCGCCCACTCCAGCCACTCGACGATCAACGGGACTAAAGGTGATACCGTTGAATAATTATGAAGAAAGAGAGATTTTACCAGGAAACTAGGCAAAGCCAGCGATGGAACTGAAGAGATCATTAGGAAATAAATGTATAGTTTTTGTAAACACTGACCGGAAAGGCAGGTGGTGCTGAGTGAAGTAATGGAACATCATTAGAACTTCCATCCTTGTTTCCAGTACTGTCCATAAGAAGTCAAAGCCCAGTGCAACAACTTCTATGGCTTAGCTCCTAAATGCTAGTACTGTGATTCAAAGTTGCTGGTACTAGACATGAAAATTATGCCGACTCTATTGGAAACAGCTGATATTTTTCGGTATTGAAAAGGTCGACTTTCTATAAACATAAGGACACAAGGACATATGAGGACATAATAATAACAACGTAAGTTCATAGGAACATATCAGTAAATCTATCGGTCGATAACCAACATTTCAAGAAACAGAGCACGTAAAAGAGATCCTAAGGTTGGAAACGCTTTGTGCTTACCATGGATATTGACTTATAACAGATTTCGAAGGAAAAGATAAAGTAACATAACGGTTAGAGGAAGGATTAGTGTACTTAAAGATGCAAATAAAGAAACAATATTCACGAGAAGAACGAGTGCACAGAATGAGTACACATTTGCCTCAGTGATTGGTGCGGGAACGCTGCCGAAGAATTTTCGATTTCGTGGCTCAGCGATAGCTTAGCCGTCGCATGCCCAGTGATGCTGGGACTGGGTAAGGCTGAGCGAGGACTTCGCCTGTGGATTCCCCGGGGAGTGGGGGCTGTTCGAGAGTTTGGGTTTCGTCCTGGCCATGGGTAACTCCTAAGCTACTTGAGAGGAAAGATGTTTCCCTTTGAGAGATTATACGATCTACAGAATGTGACAAGAAAACTATAAAGCATTTGTACGATAAACTACAAACTTTACTAAACTAGTAAACTAAACACACAGCTTCAAGACTTAGCGATTGCTCCTAAATGGAGGACATATAGAAGGAAAAGTAGAAATAACAAGTGATCAATGGTAACGAAGCAAAATAGCTGAACTTGGACACGACAATTAACTAATCATTCCTCCGAACTTGATGACAAAACCACCGTTGTTTTCTTAAATATTTGCAAAATTGTGTTAGAAACGGACTAAGCCATCCGCCAACAGAGTTTTGCCAAACCAGCATCTTACGAGAAACACAGAATATTTGCAAAGAAAAGATGAAATCACTAAGTTATAAAAAAAGAGAAAGTAAAATCACCAATAATGATGTTAAGATATCTGCAAAACTCTGGACCTCAGGTGTACGTGGTGGGGAACGAACGCGATATCACCCTTTCCGGGAGTTAACATGTTCACCACCACATCACGCGGGTTCGTTGTTTTACCAGTCTCTAAGCTAGTTTTCTATTTACCAGTCCCAGTAGCAGTCACAGATCAACGGGATTGATCTGGAACGCTAAGAGAGAAGAGAAAGTAGAATCACTAAGTTACAAAAGACAACGTACGTTTATGTACCTTCGCTATGATTCTTCTCTTCTCTGTCCTGTGATCTTCACTCAGAATGAACGTAACATGCATAACCATAGAGCTATGAATTTTCCTGCCACTGCTAAATTGTATTGGAAAATGAGTTACACTATCGATCGGCGAACGATTACGCAACCAATATACAATAGCTGTCAATAGAGAAGCATGGCAGTTTCCGAAATATACACATTTATCGCTTAGTATCCGGCCACTTCCTACCTTTACAGGCAGAATGTTTTCACAAGAACTCATTGAAAGCTATTTTCAAACCGACCATCATTAAACTTGGGTAAGAAAATGACCAAAACGTGAGTAAGTTGTTGCGCTTACTTGAGGTTGATAAACCAGTTTTATTCCGCTGATGTTTCGACGTGGACTTCTTCGCGAGAGTCAACCGCATCATCAGGGCTCTGATGAAGGTGAAGACGTCGAAACGTTAGCCGAATACAACTAACCTATCAACTTCGTGTAAACTCAACAATTTATATAATTAAAACAATACGCATGAAGAATGCGATCATCGGGTTGATGGGGCTTGAAGGATGAAAGAGCTTCACGATCAGAATAGCTGGTTGTGTTCTGATATCCACTGAATGATACATCCGACACCCACCCACTGTTATATTCCGATTCATTGCGAAATCGTCACAAAACCGAACCGTGCACTGAATGTGTGATTCTAGAAGACATAGATGGATACCATAAAGCTCCAGGTGAAATGAAAACCTCACACGGTTGTTGACGAACACACCTATAACCGTGCTACTTTTCAAACTATTGATGACATCCCGGTAACTGAAGTGTTGGAAGAATTGAGGGCAAGCTCACAGACGAGACCGCTTCATGATCCCCACACAGTTCCTCTAACGTACTACCTTTGATCAAATTTTTTAAAACATAAATCAAAGAATATTAATGTAAAATCCAAAAACCTAGCGCAACCGCCCACACTAATGACGCACCCGTGATAACACTGTGTCCGGCAGTGTGATAAACTTTCGCTACTAAAAACATGAGCCACGATGTCGAAAACGGCGAAAAAACTGGTGGAAAAAAAATCGATAACTTTGTATGTATGGGGCGAATAAATCCGTGCTTCGTTAGTACAGGTGTGCCAGATTATAACGGTGTTAATCTCAACTAATAAAATACCTTGTAAGTACGTTATGAGTTCAGATGCACTGGTTCACAGTCAAAAAGACGAACCAAAATATTGTTGCGAGTGCTCTAGAATTATCGCATTTCACGTTTCCCTAGATAAGACTACATAAAAGTGTCGAATGAATCTAAATGACTAATACAATTCGGACCATCGACTCGGATTATCGGCTCTGATGAAGGTGGATTATCAACTCGGATCACCGGCTCTGATGAAGACACAACGAGAAGACCAACAACTGTGGACCATCGACTCGGATCACCGGGTATGATGAAGACGAAGACGTCGAAGAATTGGCCGTATAAGGATCATTTATTGACATCGTGTAAGCTTATCAAGGAACGAATAGCTATTACAGTTAACTGTTCTAGCTATTTGGTCTTCACGATAGCATCAAGTACAACTGACGTAATAAGGAACATTGCAGGAACGAAGCAATTCATCATAGAGTATTTCTTTAACGCATGACAGTTGCTGAGTGATTTCAATGCAAGATAGATAACCCATTCTTCTAATCACAAACAAACTTGCAGAAGTCGCGATTGTTAGGTGCTCAGAGCAAAGCAGACATTTCACTATGAAAACAGACAATCTGAGCGGATAATTAATAAATGGTCATTCAAAAACCACCCTTCCTTCAACCTCCGTATGATTAACCAACATGTGGTTAAATCGTTGAGCCTACACGGCGTTGTTATATAACCTTCATTCGGCTAACGTTTCGACGTCTTCGTCTTCTTTAGAGGACAATCAACTCGGATCATCGGTTCTGATGAAGATGAAGACGTCAAAAAGATAGCCAAATAAAAGTTATGTAACAACCTCGTGTAAGTTCAACAATTTAAACACCACCTCATCAAACCTTCCCAACGGTTTACAGATTCAGCGTGGTTAGGTGTTCCTGGGTGTCGGGCTGCGATGCACAGCGAGGAGATTCACCCCCTGCAGGGCCTCCTAAGCTCAGGAGTCCGGCGTTCCCAACACGAAGCCCAGCTAAGAGTAAACCAATAACAGGATCTACCACCGCCCTAATATTAAAATAGTCGCATGGTGGCAAATTTCCCTCTGATCCACAAAGGCGGCGACTGCCTGTGGTGGTGACGACCAAGCGTAGACTTTGGCCAGGTTGACCTCGGGACTTCAGGGAACCACAGTGGCTAGACCAACACAACTCCGAAAAATGGAGATTATGCTGGGGCCCGCACAACCAGTAAGGACGGCCATCCAAGTATCCAAGTAATTAAGTTGATCAATCAATGGTTGTCCTTCATATGCAGCCATCATGAGGTAACTTTACTTCAATGGGCTCCCTGTAATCAGCTGTGTTCTAATCGATGTAACACCACCACCACCACCACCACCAACAACAACAACAACAACAACAACAACAACAACTAAGTCGCCCGAATCTTTTATCAGGTCATAGACTCCGGCTTTAGTCAATGCGATTCTAAACTTAACAACACTGCCAATATATTAGCCATAAGAAATTCTGTACTAACATTGCCTTAGGTTATGAATAAACCAAAATATTAATAAATATACTGCTGTTAAACTAAAGTCTATTCCAAATAAAACGTGACATTTTATTTTTAAATCAGCTCCTACAAATTTTTAACATCACGTATGGAAAGTTCATTAGTAAAAACTAAGTACAAAATTACATTAAGACTTTTTTGGAGCAAAGGGATTGCTGGTTACAGTTTCTGGAGTGACGCCTAACTGTTTGACTTGACTCACGAATTTTTTCCGATTCTGCTGACACATTGTACCGCACAGTCGACCTTAAAGAAAAAAAAACTCATCTGAGATAATCTTAGGATTTGTAAAGGATATCAATACATCGGGAAAAAAAAACTTCCTCTAGTAAAGAAGAAATCTTGCAGAAGAAAAGGTCACCTTTAGATGAAATATCCAGCAAAACAACAACAAAAAAAATCAGACGTCAATACAGAGTTATGCAAGGGCATAAGCTTAGCCGAGCACTACGAAAATGGGAGCAGAAAGTCAAAGAAGTCGGAAAACTATCTGTAGGATTTACTTCCACAGTGTTCACATGGCCAGTGGCATCCGTGACATTCTGCTAGTAGGCAGTCGCAGATTGTAATGCACTCTTCACCAGGAATGATAAGCTTCCCTCTCTTATCATGAAAGACTTGACGCTTTTCCTGCATGGTATCCCTGTCCTCTGAAAAATTCGAAATCTAGACGGAAGGTCGCATTGAGATGATACTAAATAAGCGTTCCGTCAACAAAGACATGTCACTAACCACCTACCATTCACTTTTCGCCTCGATCTACGGTTATTTATCGGCTGTACCATTAACCCGCCTGGATTTATGAACTGTAGTCTTCCCAACTCTCTCTGCATCTGCCTTTGACGATCTATAAGACCAAGAAGCCCCGATAAATAAGCTCGTTAAACACGACACCCAAGTAAGACTTCAAAAAACCACGGGAATGTAATTCCCACAGATCATAGTATGATCATATGATTTGAAGAAAACGTGAAAAACTTCCGAATAACTAACTAATTCCATCTGTCGTCACTAGTTCTTCATCTACTTCATCGAAGAAAACAAGATTTGCCGACAAGCTAGCAGAAGAACCTTGTAGTGAATCACAAACATCCTATAAATATCACACTACACAGTTTCTAATTCGGAACTGCTCTGTTGTTCCTTAGCATCTAACGTCAGAATGAGAACTTTTTCTCCGGCCAGTCACTCCACCTTCACCAGACTACCCAACTTCGGAAAAGATATCGATGTATCACGTCTAAGAGTAATAAATTAGAGAAGATATCTTTAGAACTAACACATTTCTCCGGTGATGAGTCGTCGACAGTTGAAGGAGAAGACTTTGAATTTGTCAGTCCTACCAATACTGACAGCGCGTCGTTTGTTGAAGACATTGCCAAATGGACCAGATTAACGAGCAAGAGATAACATTGAGTCTATACCATCATATTATGGGAAGTTCACGCTATCATAGGACGAGAAAGTACTTCTAAACTTAAAAATATGAGGTGGGAAGCTGAATTAGCCAATAAATCAGTCAACAAATTGATTGACGTAGATCAAAACTGGTAAATAGTTGGCATGGTATTCAAGTAACCCATGTTATACTTGAACGAATAGGCGTATTCTTAATGAATTTTAGATCTCCAAAATAAATTCTTGTAATGAAAGGAGAAACTGGCTGCTTTAAACCTAAGTCAAAAGGTTTCATGAGTTCCCTGGAACTAGCAAGTATGTGATCAAAGATGAAATTTCAAAAGAAACTGCCTTAGAACTCGCAATATGAATTTTAGAATTAGTACAGAAAATCTCGATGTCCTCGTCTTCACCAAAGCCGAAGCCTTCTTCATAAAGCTCAACAATTTGAACACATGTTGATTATTCACTTATCTACTTGAATACTTGGATGGCCCGTTCTCACCAGTAGTGTGAGACCCAGCATAATTTCTAGTTTTTTTTTCGGAGTTTTGCTGGTTTAGCAACTGTGGTTCCCTGGAGTCCCGAGTTGAATCAGGTCAAAGTCTGCCCCGATTATTTTACTACCGAGGTTAAACGACGGTGAAATATTGTGAAATACTGTTTTACTCAATTTAACTTTACAATGAGAACGTTTAGAATGAAACAGCACAGAATACCAAGAACGTTTGACCACAGAAGTTCAATTCCAATCAAAACACGGAGGGGAAACTTTGAATGAGGAATGCAAACGCAACAACGCCATAATGTGAACACGTAAATGAAAGCAATATATTTGTCATTTGATATATCGTCACTAGATTTTCTGAATCAACCCGTTGGCGGTGGAATGAAGAGTGTCTTATTACTTTTTCATACGTAGTATTTGTTGGAAGTGGACTAGTTGTATTCTAAGGACAAGTGTAGCGCAGTGGTTGGAGGTACCCTGTAATACACATAGGATCGACCTCGCGCTGCAGGATCACCACGCCTTCCGCCTCTCCGGAGTCATCAAATTGATACCAAGCCTGTTCGGGAGGATAACAGCACTGACTCGATACATCTGTGGGTCACCACGAGCCATTGTATAGACCAGTTATGCATTCAGTCACATCCAACGATGCTAGGAGTGGAGCTGATTGCGCGGCGCATCCCTCAGGGATTGATCAACACGGAGAGCCTTATCCCTTTATCCATCAGACAAGTTGTGCTGACCTCCCACATGTTTCCGAACATGAATAGGCACTTACTTTTCTTAGCCATTTTATTTACTGCCCAATCTTTTTAATGATAGGGTATATTGGGAAATATAACTTCAATAATGCTGAGATATTTGAATTGAAGTTGTATTTCCCAATATACCCTGACATTAAAAAGATTAGGCAGTAAATAAAACGGTTAAGATTATGATTATAACTAAAGCCTCAGCTTAACTGGGTTCGTTGCCAATTTGGGCCCCCCAGATCAATCCCGTTGACGGGTGATTGCTGATGGCAAAAGATCAATAGAACTAGCTGAGAGACAGGCAAAACAAACGAGCCGGATAGTGTGGTGGTGAAGTGCGCTACTCCCCGGGAAGGACAATAACGCGTTCGTTCCCCACCGCAGACACCTGCGGTCCGGTGTTTTGCAAACATCTCAGCATCATTGAGCTTACTTTTCTGTTGGCATAGTGGACATGTTTGTGGTGAAGTGAATTGATCGAATACGTAACTCTGTTGAAAAGAAGTATTTGGGGAGTGTAAGACAACGTCCCTAAGGAGCGTAGATTAGCTGATTTAGTATCCTCTATTGTAGCACTTATTACGTTAGTAATCGTATACAAACAAAAACATGAACGTAAGTATGTTTAACGTGAATAAAGCTAAATTAGAAAATTGATGTCACGAGAGAAGTGGCAAATATTCGGAGTTTACATGGAAGGAATATACTTGCTAGCAACAAATACAAAACCCAGTCCCACTCGTAGCAGCATGGTCTGAGGAAGGCGAAATCGCCGGGACATCAGCCTATAGAGAATTTCTCTATCAAATAGAGAATTCTCTATCTAACTAACAAATATATTTTATAACACGATAGAGAACATTTCTTGCAATGCAAGCAACCTATTCCATAGTTAAATATTTGCCACAACGCCTCCATCCGTGCCCTACGTTCAATTTCTCATCCCATCTTCACCATCAGGCACACCAGCAAGCGTGCCTCCAGGCACGACTCATTGCTTGAGGACTAAACCTTGGGACCCGTGCCAGGACCCTGCACGCCACTCGCTTGGATCTAGTCACGCCCTTTAGCCCTGTCATTCGCCTCCCAACTACTCACGATTGCTACCACCCTTCTAGATTGGGTGTACAATTCATTATATAACATTGTCATTGCAACTTTATTGTAATTTTCGCACTCATTGCTGTAGCTCACTGCATTACCATACAATAGTCTTCTATCAGTAATCTAAGGAAGGCTGCTTCATATCAGTCACTCCAACCAATCTTTACTTCACAACCACTGCAGCTCTCACCATATCACTAAAAATATCCTCATTTAAGTTGATCAAAAGTGCACGATATTCTCTCGTTCCTCCTCATCACATTGTTATTTCCACTTAATAGTGTCACAAACTCAAATATGCGTTCTAATGAGCTAACCTCTAGCCGTGCTACTGCACTCTCCGTCACACTTATACACTACATCACTCCCTCATCCTACGGCTAAGTCGCTCTATCATCTCTATCTAGCCTTTTATGCTTTATCTTCCTCACAGTACATAGCATGAGGGTACTATAGCAGACTCAGTGTTGTCATGAGTGCATCTGTTTATGCATTTATTCTGATGGGAGGGGCACATTACGCTTCCATGTGAATTCTGTGCGGTCGGTCTTCACGCGATATACTCAGTGGAAGACTCATAGAAAGCGGTGAGTGTGCAGAGCTATGCAAATGTGATTGAAATCTTGGTTTAGCGTTTTCTCTGTTTGGTTATGGAGGTGTTTGGCCGAGTGGACTGCTGTCAACTTGACCCTTCCAGGCTCTGAGGAAGGCGAAATCCGCCGAAACGTCAGCTTGTGCGTAAATAAAGAAATAAAATAGCACCTCATGCTTGCTGAACAGAAGCAGAAAGATATATGCATTTATTTAGTTACGTCACACCGGCCTCCATATTACACGACTGTATACATACATTACATTGTATTGTATACATACATTTCTAGTGTCACTGCATTGTCGTGTAAATATTATGTGTAAACGCTTTAATCACTCAAGTTTGAGGTTCTGCGGCAAACGCGACCACACGAATAAAAGTACCGCGTGGCAAACTAACAAAGTCGAGCATTCCATCAACAGCTGGCGGATAGAGAACAAACCCAACAACTACTACTCTGTATTTCGCTGGGCCAAGCAATACACAGCCATCGACCAACAACAATAACATATCAACATGAGCTCGATAAGATCTGTTCATAAGAAAATATAAACAGGTATACAAATGTTCTGGTTAGATTATGACACTGTCTCCTAGACTTCTTAAGGTCATCAGTTTCCGCAACGTTTCTTACTTTGACACTCATGTGTTGTTTTACTTAGGACATTATAGACAATACACTGAATCTTGAACGGGATAGATCACACCCTCTAGCTCCATGACTCATGGTTTTAGACAATATTTAACTGCAAAGACTTGAAGATTCGGACTTTGTTACCAATTTGTTGTGTAATCATTTGTAAATGGAAAATTCGCACATTCTTACATTCCTGGATTTTGAATGTCCAAAGACATATACATATCCCCGAAAGAAATAAGTCCCCAACCCTATGTCAAAGGAAACTTCACACATTTTTGCGTTCTTGGATGTTTGAATGTCCAAAAACTTGTGCCTACCACCATAATACTTTATCATCTCATCGTAGTCTTGGCCTATTCATCCATGTGCAGCCGTAATGTGTAACTGTAAGTTTATTTTTTAGTAGAGTTGCAGCGGTTAAGAAGCATCATTTACATTCATCATGTCATCCATATCTACTGACATCAGGATGCCTAGCTGTGAAGAAGCCTACTCGACAGGAGATCCTGGCGATTGTGGTTAGCTACTATATTCATAGATACTTTCATAGTAGGTATGGTAAAATGATGACAACATACTAACTGTGTGAGCACTAATATCAAAGAAGCCAAGTGATTTTCTCGAAACTATCCTCTTACTAAAATCAGTTTAAAAAAGAGCATCATACGACAACTGTGATGTGCACAAGTTAAGGCTTAGTGCTGCCGCTTGAGTAACCCAGATCGGTCAATTTTTGAATAACTTTATATATTGCAGAATGACCAATTCCTAAGACGTCCTTCAAAAGTAATGCTACCGTATAATGCAATTTTGGTAACAGTAAGGGACTAAAGAATTTTACGGATTCGGGTAATTCCTTAGAAGAGTGCTCTGAAGAGCTGGTGTGAACCACTGTATGAACTTTCACTAGAAAATTTTATCGAACAAAAAGGATACTAACTCTGAAATATGGTGGACATGGAAACAAACTAACTGGGTGTGAGACTCTCATGTAGATAAGCGCACAGATCTCAATAAAACGCTGCGGCTAAAAGTCGCGTATGTCATGTAGATAGTTGTTGGTTCAATCAGGAATGCACAAATAACCAAAACTCCATATTTCCGGGCTCGCCAGATTAATACCAAGCTTATATATAGGATAGAAACATGATACATCAAAATGCGTTAAATCAGCTCTACGTTACTACGAATAGAGAAGTCATGACACATTCTTAGTTATCGAAGACAAGACAGCCACTGTAGACATAGAAGAGATGGATAAAACTATAAATGATTCATTTCAGTAAATATAAAGTCTAAACAATTTTCAGGAAGTCTGTGATGATTGTTGTTCGCTTGCGAATTTCTTCGAGTCATCTAAGCAATGTTAAGCTCATCATTCGAGAGAAATTTTTAAAATGAAACCATCTTCATGTAGAGGATTTGACCCTCTTGTAAGAAGGGCGGGTTTAGAGAATTCGGTAAGCGTAGTTGAAATACCACCGAGTAATCTTAAGCGCCAGCTAGTCCGTAACCGCCTATATGACCGTCTATGTGCAACTCAAAATTGCATAATTTGCTCCAGTGGCAGAGACGGTGATTGCATGAGCTCGAGTATAGTTTATCTGATCTCCTGTAAGACGTGTGGTGACGAATACATTGGCGAAATGGGCAAACCCCTCCGTGTCCGCATAAAAGAACACTTAGCCGGCAAACATTGACCAAACACTCCGCTAGGCACGCATAGGAACCAGAGACATAAGGGGAGGACTTTGAAGTATGTGTCACGATCATCGCACGCGAATCAAGAGCACAGGCGCGAAAAACTCTCGAGGCACTCTGGATTAATTCCAGAAATCCGAAAATGAACCGCAGGGAAGAATGCCTCATTACCACGATATAGGGCAGTATATATGACTGCTATTCTGATGGGAGGGGCATATTATGCTTCCATGTGATTTCTGTGCGGTTGGTCTCTACGTGACATACTAGTGGAGACCTCATAGAAAGCGGTGAGTGTGCAAAGCTGTGTTCAATGTGATTGAAATCTTGGTTTGGAGCTTCTTTGTTTGGTTATGGAGGCGTCTGGCCGAGTGGATTGCCATCAACTTGACCTTTCCAGGCTCTGAGTCGCCGAAACGTCAGCTCATTCGTGAATAAAGAATAATAACACCTCGCGTTTGCTGAACAAAAATACGAAGAATTACCTCTTTTAAGAAAAAAAACATGGGAAAATGAAACGATTGATGTATTCTCATAGATGAATGAGCAATGAATCGTATATGTTCACTTCCGTTCATTTGTCGTAGTAGAAATCAATGATGTAAGAATCATTACAGTACGCAAAGAAATTCTGTGTTATAGTAAGCGGTTTTACAACAAGCACTTTATTTTCTTAACCTACTCTTTCATACGAGTACCCACGATACTCCTTAAGAACAGAGTATCTGGTGGGCAAAAATGGTGTTCTTCACCAATGACAAGAAGAAATCATTTTGAATGAGCAAGAAAAATGTCTTAACACGTTCATATCACATACGATAGAAAGTTCCCCGTTTATACTTTATCGCTTTGCCTGCAGTCGGGATTAATTCCAATGGTACAAGACGTTTTCGTAGCAGAAACGCCATTAGTGCAGCCAGTATTATAAGAGTCATATGATAGACCATGATATATTTGTAACCCGATTGTTCGAATAAAATCCTAAAATTGAATTAATGACTACGGTGACCGGGCTGGCAAAAAAAATCATAATATAGCGTTTTTTAAAGTGAATAGTCCTATGTAAATGGTAGCGTTATGCAATAGGGCACCAGCAGATGTGGGCGTTGGATTCAGCCCTGACTTCGCTGAACCATGATTTATATCTCTGTAGGGTCGTTGATTTGGTGGAAGACTGTCCATGCGAAAGGTGAAGAATGAAACACGACTTTTCTACAAATTACCCTTTGTTAATGCAATTTTTACCACATTTTAACCATTCAGCGGATTTACAAATGCTCTGTCCATTTAGCAAGTATCACTGTGTTAACTGGCACCACAAGCTGCTATACTCTTTTTAGCATTCGGGTAAAATCTACCTACTGGCTTGTGACTACTAACTAGTCAAATTTAAGAACAGACTATCGAATTGGGTCCTAAAATGCTTTGTCTCATTAAGGTAGTTTCCTACTTACGTTGAAAATATAGGCACGATGAATTGAGCCATACTACCAGTGAAAGCAAATAGTCCTTGAATTGCTCCCTGTAAAACATGAGGTAGAAATCGGCTCTTTTTCGCCTTACTTCAAAATTTTACTGGTACCACATATACTGTCGGAGAATAATGTCTTTATTCACTTGTTTGCCAAAGTGTCAAATTCGAACGAAGAAGAGACCAAGACATTTCATTTGCAAAAAGGATCTACTGTTAAGCTATTACACCACCGTCAACACCGGCTTAGTCAATAGGAACTAAGTCATAAAATTGGTCCTGAAAGATTGAAGAACTTTAAATCGAGAGTCAGGGCCTGTAACTAGACAAACAGTACGTGAAGTTTATCGTGAAGATCGTGAGATCTTCTAAACTAACTCACACCGTCAGAAACGTGCCTTCAACGACAATACCTGGAAACTCATCAGCTGATACGTCGGGTTTGAAAGCGCATAAACCACATTCAGCTCCGTAATACATATTCGGTTTTGCAAAATTTTGCAATGAAACGACAGGAAAGAAAAGTTCATAGAGATAAGAGCAGCAGTAGTGATTAAAACTGCTATGAGCAGCAACGTGGCCACATATCGCTCTAGTTATAAGACCAAGACAACCGCTTCTCGGCGCCCTTAAAGAAGAGTCTTTGTGTTTAAGCAGAAGTGGAAAAGATTTTTCAGCACACTAGTCCGACCTTTTCAACACTCATATCTACTTGCCCTTACATAAACCTAACCTGCAAACCTGAGAGAGGAAAATTTGTCATTTTAGTGCCACACCGAACCACGATACGCTATCTCGTCGGTGACATCTCATACAACATCCTGTTCGGGGAAGATTTGACCCAAACATCTAAGTGGAGTCTAGTTCCCATAAAGACAGGGAGTCTTTTTAAAAATACTTATTTCAAAATAGAGCTGTCGAAGTTATTCAGCGATAATTAGAAGAACGGGTGATGCAGAAGATGCTTGATGTAAAAAGATGTATTTTTAACCAATTTCTAGAGTTGATCTCCATTCACACTTGTTCGACCTAATAGTTCTTTCAGCTTTGTTTTAGACAATGGAAACGTGGAATGAAATTTCAAGCATATCAAAAAGTGAGGTAGAATAAAGAAGGTACTAGAGCGGTGTCCTCTGAAGATGAATCGGCATACTCCAAATTAAACCGGTTTACGTGGCTTAGATTTGAAGAAGATTATCTAGCCTTTGTGAAGATTAGAATGGATATTTAGAAAATTGGAATAATCTCGAGAGGGACTGCTAGAGAGATGGGACGAATTTTTCTTTGAATGCATAGGTCAGCTGCATTCATAGCTGGAATCAACTTCAAGTGCTAAAATCCCAAGGAAACCTACATACGCATGCGTCTACTTCCATATATGACCGTTGTAAGAAAACCTAGTGATTCGAAGAAATGCTGGATCCTGCGGGACACGTGAAGACGGTAAGCGACTGCCTTTTTCCGTAGAAAAGTCGTGTTACGTAAAAATTATATGGTTATGATTATAGTGATTCGGCTTTTACATCGTCCTTGAGCTGTCGGTTACTTCTACATTCCTGCTTTCGTTTCCGTTTTCGGTCTTAACGTCTCTCCAAATCAACTAGTAGGAAGACCGAGCGAAGGATTCGTTGCCGAAAACACACCTCCCTTTGATCTACATCGTGGTGAAGACCTAAACACGCCCTTGTAGGGTTACGTCAGGACTCTAGGGAGGACCAAGTTGCACAACCAGCAATAGGCCAGTCTCAGTACCCCGCACACTGGGTGCCCCCGTCTATGACGTCAGGTGGTGAGAGGACCAGTGAGAGGCCTGAAGATCTCGAGTTACGCAGGACGTCATTGAAACCGGATCTGACGAACACAGGCACGACACGCTATGGAGATTATTTCTTATTATGCACGTATAATGCCAGGACACTCTCCACAGACGCCGATCTTCACGCCATTTTTGTGGCCGCAGATCGAATTAAATTTCATGTGATCGCATTACAAGAAACAAAAATCAAGAAAACCGACATACGCCAACTAAACAACGGGACACTTGGGTTCCGTGGAGAAAAGGTCCCGTCACGAAGTGTCGGTGGCGTAGGCTTTGTCATCCACCGGTTCATTGTCCATCTCGTCGATTCATACGTGATCCTTTCCCGTCGCATTGCCGCATCCTCCGTCTTCAACTGTCGCATCATAAGAAGATCACTATCATCAACTGCTACTCATCGACCGACGCAGCTGATAAGTACGAATTAAATGCGTTCTACTATCAGTTGGAGAAAGTTATCCGCAATGATAAAGCATATCATAAATTTGCTATTGGAGATTTCAACGCCAGAATAGGAAAGCCCAATGAGAGCGAATACAGGATCGGAAATTTTGGATTAGGAGAAAGAAATGAGAATAGGAGCCGTCTCGCAGGACTTTTGTCAGCAGCATGTCTCTTCCATGGAAACTCATTTTTTTTCAGAAGAAAGCAGCCGCTGCACATGAGAGTCTCCCAACGGCATGTCTCATGCGAAGATCGACCGTATTCTGACAAACAGAAGATGGTGCCTACTTGACACATCGGTAGTCCCGTAATTCTGTACTGGTTCCGATCACCGTCTTCTTCGCGCGAAGATTCGATTCAGCCGTAAGCTGGAAAGAACTCTCTTCATCGACCACGAGGAAAAAGTCTAGTTGTATACGACAAGAATATTCTGAACGAAGTCCTATCCAAACGTGACTGGCAGATTAAAAAAGACCCGACCGAAGACTACGAGCTGCTTGCCGAGGGACTGAAAAACTGTGTCGAATTCGCCTCAGTTCCTCAAACAAGAGGATCGGATCGCATCTCCATCACTACTAAGGAGTTGCTCGAAAAGAGAAGGAAACTGAAGCTTGATCCTACTGCAACACTCTTAACATGGCTAGTAATAAATGCCAGCTGCAGAAGAGCTTTGCAGGGAGATCTACAACGGTACAAGCATAGGAAAAGGGGTTCGATCGGGCGACACAATATCGCCAAGTTGTTCAGTGCCGCACTGCAGTGGATAATGAAGTCACTCGATGGGGATGAGAAAGGCATACGTATTGATGGAAAATTCCTGTCAAACTTAGTTTTTCCGACGACATTTTCTGTTATCTTCTCAAGAAGTACTACGGAAACAGAGGTGATGACTAAAGAGCTCAACGAAGCGGGGAAGAAGATCGGACTTCGCATAAATCGAAAGAAGACCCAGTTCATGAAAAACCCATGGTGTGAAGGCGAAAAAATTGAAATTAGATGGCTCTCTCATTGCAGAGACCACCTCGTACGTTTACCTTGGGCGATCAATCAACATGGAAACAACATGGAGTAGTAACTAGATAGAAGAAGGAGAACAGCTTTGGCCGCATTCGGGCCTCTCAAAGAAGTGACCGACCAACTGAAGGACCCCAAAATCCACGCTCATCTCTTTGATTCTACAGCAACGCTCTGTTATGCTGCAGAGACGTGGGTTGATACTTCAACTACGTCAAGAATGCTTCGAACTGCTCACAGAGCGCTTGTTCGATGTTTTCTGAAATACAACCGGCACTCTCAACATGTAGCCGGAATGCAAAGCTCTGAGCTTCGAAATCTGTCACATCTTGAAGATCCAGGAGAATATACATCGACAGCGAAACATAGATGGACCAGTCACATAACGAGAAGAACAGACGACAGATGGACGAAAGGAACACAAGAGTGGACTCCAAGAGAATGAAAACCTCCTCTTAGACGAGCACGTTGGGCGGACGTGTTCGTGAACAAGGTTAATCAGCTGTACACGCAGCTGCAGTTGTTTTACAGATCACGTATAAGACTCGAAAGTGCTAACATGCTCGAACAAGACCACCACCATGGACTACGATTACGAGAGAAAAGAATGAATGGCATATGTGCTGGGGTCCGCACAGCTCGTGAAAACGGACCGTCGAAGTATCCAAGTAAGTAAGTAAGCGTGATTATAGCAAAATAGAACCTGTTTGCGCGGTCCGATAATTTCGGACAATAATGTATTACATGGTGCTGAGATGAGTGGATAAGACATTCCAAGAACAACTGAAAAATTGAAGAGATACAACGCCATCGGTACCCTTAAAAACACAGTAATTCAACCGCAAAAAATGGATTATTAGTGAAATGTTACCTGGGTGTGTATTCACACCATTCATACGCGTACGAACATCCTCCAGCAGCAGGAGGCACTGTGCCGTTTACTGGAAAATCAACTATTTAATGGGTCAATGAACTAGCTTCTGTATAAAACAGTTTACCTGATGAAACCAAACAAATTTGTCCCAAGCCAAATTTGTCCAAGGCATTTAGCTGGTTCAGCTGACATAAGAGTGGTAACACTTTCCGCTTGGCGCGTAGAAATTTACTGCTCCTAAGAAGAGTACACCACGGATCTCCCTCATATGAGGCATCTCGAGCCGGTTAGTCGCGAGGCTGCGTGACGCGTCACCAGGTGCCGGATAGGGGGTTAATCGCAGACCAAAATCGACCCTTGCTTCCCTGAGACGCGGTTGGATCCAGAGGATGGACTTCCTGTTTCTACTGCGCTGATCTGGCGAATACTTTCTGTATTTATGCGGCGTATTCATGCTCATATGTGGGTGAGTTCTAGTTTATGCAGATTGTATTCTACGAGTCAATTCTGCCAAAAGCCTGCAATCAAGTGACTGGGAAGTATATGGGAGGCAGTTAGGAGTCGCCTCCAACAAATAAGCTCCATGCCCACTCTGGGAGAGCCTGGCAGGCTACCCCTGGGTATACCCCAGCCCTCACGTTCAGAGCCCAGCAAGCTATACACATGGGTATCAGAAATGCTAAACACAGTAAAAGAAATGGGCCTCCGACCCCGAAACAGCCTCCAATTCGACGGCATTGGGTAGGACGAGAGGCCGCTAAAATCTCAGGACCAGTGGAAGCTGCCTGTATCACGAAAAACTAAGATGACGATCTGTACCCACAATGTACGTACACTTGCATCCGAGTTCTCGATAGAACACTCGACCAAGCAAGCAGGGAGGACAAGGTATGATGACGTCATCGGATTGGCTGAGACGAGAAGACGCCACCTATTCAACGACTTTTATGACACTGGAGAAAATCTGTTCCTCAGAACATGCGACAGTAGAGGAGTCGGCAGCGTTGGCATTCTCATGAATACGAGTATGTCCATGAACATCAATTCATTGCAACAATTTGATTACAACCAGAATCGGACGTTTACGATTAAAAAGACGTGGATCAATTCCGGCTTTGACAATCTTCGCCGTTTACGGGCCGACATCAAACTATGACGAAGAAGAAGTCGAAGCGTTCTATATGGACTTGGAGAAGTTCTACAGAGAAGACCATATATTTTTCAAGATGATCATTGGAGAGTTTAACGCTAAGACTGGATCAAGAAAAACGTCTGAAGAACGTCACATTGGTACCTACGAATTAGAATGGAACGAACCGGTTGCGGCTGTCTGAGCTTATTATGGCAACCAAGACCACCCATGGTAACTCGCAATTCCAGAAGCCACACCCTCAGCGCTGGACGTGGGAGTCTCCCAATGGACTGTAACATAAAGAAATAGACCACATCATAGTAAATAGAAGGTTCTGCCTAACCGATGTCGCTGTTGCCCCAAAATTCTACACGGGATCAGACCATCGTCTCCTTCGTGCAAGATTCTATTTCTCGCAGAAAGGAGAAAAAGCCGTTAAATTTAGAAAGTCCCAGAAGCACCGTAAAATGGAACTTATTCAATTCATTAATCGGCTGTTGGAAAGATGCCGTTTTCGGCAACATCGACGAAGAATACGATCGGCTCATTCAACATCTTCACGTTAGCGCTGTGAAAGCTGAGAGTTCGAAAGTCACCAAGAGACGTTGTCTCTAGAAACACTTGAGCTGATACGCCAGCGCGGAATCGCATGAGCTGCAGGCAATCGCGAACTAACGTCCGAACTTGCGAAACAGTGCAGACAGGCGATAAAAGAAGATCTTAAAGAGAGAAGGGCAGCAGCAACGGTCGAAGCTGCAGAGGCTGGGAAAAGCCCGCCGAAGCTTCGTCAATTACAAAACCAAAATGATTGCACTCCGGCTCCCAGACGGAACAGTTACAGCGTCCAGAAAGGCAATGGAGAAAATCATTCACGGGTACTACTCGGATTTCTTCGATAGCCACGTCCACCTTCCGTCATATGAAATAGAGAATGGATATGTTGCGCCACCGGTTCTCCCTTCCGAAATCCGACATGAGATTTCGTAGGTGAAAAACCGAACAGCAACAGGTCCGGACAGGATAAGACCAGAACACCTGAAGAACCCTCCGCGAGTCTCCGTAAACAAACTGGCTCGGTTCCTCACACGTTAGCTGCCGAAATGCAAGGTCCCCACTCAGTGGAAGACCAGCAAGACCGTGCTATTGTTTAAGAAGGGTGACCTACACGATACCGGCAACTATCGTCCAATCTGCTCTCAGTCTGTCGTCTACAAAGATTTTACTCGAGTAATCCTAAACAAGATTGACAGAACACTGCACGGAGGACAGCCATGTGAGTAAGCAGGGTTTCGAAAAGGATTTAGTACGATGGACCACATTCACACGGTAACACAGCTCATTGAAGTATCGTGAGAGTACAAGAGACCGCTCTGTCTCACTTTCATCGATTTATAGAGGGCATTTGATTCAACTGAGATAGAAGCAGTCATGGAATGCCTTAATAGTCAAGGAGTCCCTACTCAGTACATAAAGCTTCTTCGTGTGCTGTACAAAAATTTCACAACCAAGGTAATACCATTCTACAATGACATTAACGTTGACGTTAAAAGAGGAGTTAGGCAAGGCGATACCAACTCGCCAAAATTATTTACTGCCACCCTCCATAACATCATGCGAGCATTGGAATGGGATAATATGGGAATGAAAATCGATGGTGGGCAGTTACACCATCTTCGCTTTGCTGATGACATCGTCCTTATAACACCAAATAATAGCCAGGCGGAACGTATGCTTGACGGCTTTGATAAAGCCTGTGGAAAGATTGGTCTTCAACCAAATCTCACAAAAACGATGTTAACGAAGAACGGATTGGTTTCGTATGCCCCATTCACGCTCAAGGGAACGAATATATCCGGAAGCTCTAGTGATGTCTATCTAGGTCGGTAAATCAATATGTTGAACGACTCAGCTCTTGAGTTGAGCAGAAGGAAACGAGCGGCTTGGAAGCTTTCAAGAGCATCGAGGATGTAGTGAAGAGAACAAAGAACACCCGACTCCGCGCCCACCTTTTCGACTCAACGGTACTTCCTGTATTAACGTATGCGTCAGAAACCTGGTCGCTGCGTAAGCAGGATGAAAGATCACTCGGCGTTATCGAACGCGCAGTCTATAGGACGATGCTAGGAGTATCTCGCTCCACACAAGTAAGGGATGGGATCCGAAGCTCCGTTCTGCGTCAACGATCAAAAATCAAAGATGCCGTTGCGTACGCCAAGCAATTGAAGATAAGGTGGGCCGGTCACGTTATGCGTATGAACGATAACCGATGGACAAGATCCGTTAGTGACTGGATTCTTCGGGATGTCAAACGTACTGCAGGAAGACCACCGACCCGATGATCAAGAGTTCTTCACAAAGAGCCTTAAAGAGAGATACGATGTTCGACGAGTCCCTAGAGCGAGCAGAACCCAATGGGCTACTCTTGCACGCAACAGGGAAAATTGGAACATTTACTGGCGCCCGCTCGAGTCACTCGACGATTAACGGGTCTACAGGTGATATAGCTGACAGGTGACAACACAATGTACTTAGACTATTGGACGGAGACTACAGGTGATACAGGTGAAGAAGAGTATAGCCAGCTGTGGGCCGCCGGCCTCTGCCATTTTGGCAAGGTACAGTTATTCGTGCTTTCGTGGTGCAGGCGTACTTGTGACTTAGTTGGATGTAGAATTTTACTACACTCCACGTACCAGATACAACCAGTATCTATCGAAGGACACTAACTCTCGTATTCATGAAGGGACCACATGCTCGTTTACTGTGACGTGAATCAGTTACAGTAGAAACGAATACCTTATCTTTAGTTCCTCAAGACAGGCATTAAACCATAAGTTGTTTCTCTTCACTCTAGTTTGAACACTGACTCCGTAGTACCAGGACGTTCCAAGTAGCTTTCGGGCTAACATGATTCAGGTTTCTCTCCTGGGATTAAGTAGGTGGATTGGATAACAACTTTTCATACTTAATTTGGAATGCTCGGATGGAATAGCACAAATATTTTAAATCCATTAGAGGTATGACTTTACAATAACCCCTTAGTTCTTAGAATACTTTTCCCAATAGTTTGCATTTTTTCCCCACTTACTATCGCTTTCTACCTTTTCCTAAAGACTATAGATTTCAACAACGCTCATGTGAACTTCCTACAAAAGATTAGGAGGGCAATAAAACTCCTTAAGGGGATGTTGGTAATAATAAGTTCCTGTACAACGACCTGTCACCATTCTAACTCATATGAAGTCTTACAACTTAATCTAAGCGCCGTTGGCCCCAAACCTTACTGTTAAAAGAAAATCCACACCGTTGTTTGCCAATAGCTGACATATGGAACCCATGAGGTTAAATTAGGCCCGACCGATAGACTTTTGGGCCTTTATTGACACTATTTGGAGATCACAATGTTTTAACGTTTTGTTTTCTGCCTTCTATAATTTTCATGGCAGGTTACTAAGCGAAATACAACCACAATGTTGCTGAGATATTTGCAAAACTCTGGACCGCAGGTGTCTATGGTGGGGAACGAACGCGCTATTATCCTTTCCGGGGAGTAACGCGTTCACCACCACACCATGCGGGTCCTTTGTTTCGCACGTCTCTCAGCTATTTCTATCGATCTTTTTTGCCACAGCAATCACCCGTCAGCGGGGTTGATCTGGGGAGCGCAAATCGGCATAGAACCCAGTTAAGCTATGGCTGTAGTTGAAATCACAATGTTTTAACGTTTTGTTTTCTGCCTTCTATAATTTTCATGGCAGGTTACTAAGCGAAATACAACCACAATGTTGCTGAGATATTTGCAAAACTCTGGACCGCAGGTGTCTATGGTGGGGAACGAACGCGCTATTATCCTTTCCGGGGAGTAACGCGTTCACCACCACACCATGCGGGTCCTTTGTTTCCCTATTTGGAGAGTTGTTTAAGACTTTATAGACATTTGGCTGTATTGACCAGAGTAAAGCAATAGCTTTAGTTATAGAAGTCTGTCGGTAGTGATATCCGTTCCTCACAACACTTATGGACTACAAAAATGCGTTCAATATCGTTCAAATCAGTGCTGCTCTATAAGGACTCGTAAGTAAAAAAAAGTGTATCCATCGTACATGACTGTTCTAGGCTACTACAGTATACCCCCAAAAATGTACAAATAGCAGAAGGAATACGGCAGGGAGACACCAACTCGATGAAGCTCTTCACCACCATACTTCACTGGATAATGTTGTCGATTGAACAGAACGAAAAAATCATACAAATTTACGGAGAACATTCTATCGAATATACCATCCCTCGCCTTTTTTGTCTTTATCGGCTTCACAGAAGTGCTTGACAACACCGAAACAAGGTTATCCCCTAGATGACATATGCCAATCATTTAAAACTCAGAAAGCTAACTTACTGATAAGTGGTCTTGTGAGTGGGCCTTCATAGAATGGCATTGGATAATGACAAAAATGAAAGAAGAAGAATCCTGACAATCCCATAGCGAGTACTAATCTGCGATCCCTGAAAGAGCCTTGTGTTGAACAACATCGGAACTGAATAAACAGTTTTATAGCGCATTATTAGTAACGTTGTTTATTTAGAAGACATGAAATTGAAAGAACGCGATCTTTGGTAATACAATATGACAAGGTGCATAACGAAAAGTAATTGGGATTTTCTGCCGAAATGAGTATAAAATGTTTTCCAAGTATTCTATCTCCAGCCTTGATCTGCGAAAACTACAAGCATGCTCTCACTCTTGTTAGCTGTGACCTTATCTATCACATCAACGAAAGAACATTGGGTTATTGATATCCACAAAAATGGCTACTACTTCCAATAGGGCCTCATTGCCAGTGGACGTGTTCCTGGGTGTTGGGCTGCAATTTACAGCAGGGTGATTCATCCCACCGGCAGGGTCTCCAGGCTGGGAAGGAATCCGGCGTTTCCATCAGGAAGCCTAGCTGAGAGCAAACCAATACCAGGATCGACCATTGTCATGGTATCAAACTAGTCGTATGGTGACAATTCCTCCTCTGATCCACAAGGGCTGAGATTGCTTGTGGTGCTAAAGACTTGGGGCAGACTTTGGCAAGGCTGACCATGAGATTCCAGGGAGCCACAATAGCTGAACCAGCAAGTCTCCAAAAAATTGGAGATTACGCTGGGGTCCGTACAACTAAAGAGGATGGGCCGTTCAATTATCCAAGTATTTAGAAACGGCTACTCGCTCTTGCTGTAAACTCAATCTACTAATGTGTTTGAAGGCCAAGACATCACCTCGAAATATGCCACTGATAACCATGTCTCTAATTCTTACAAATCTATGGCATTATTATGTTTTCAAGGCGATTGTCCCAAAGGCAATTCATTCCAGCTCACCAAGTTCCCACTCTAGTTGAACCGATAACGGTGTATGTGATTGTGGAGACACCACAAGCGATGACTTGTACGATACCATTGTAAAGAATCGCTTCTTCATGTGTCCAATTATACATAGCAATTGTAATCGGTGCAGCTAAGCTAAATGTGCCAAACAAAATACACGATGAAGAAGATAATACACGAGCCTGTCGGCTTTTAAATCTTTAAAAAAACAAAAAAAGTCGAAAAATTTTCCATTCCTTTTTGTTTAAATTCCAAAGAGAGGACTTGAAAAAAGCCGGAGGTTCTTAAAGTTGAAAGGTTGGAAACAGATGTGTTGTGAGCTTTTTTGGCTGTTCCATTTTCCTCATCCAATATGAATGTTCGCGTTTTTCCTACGCGGCTCGTAGCGCCGAATGTGTCCGCTTGTATGTTTGTCTGTCTGTCTGTGTGTCTATTCGACTGTCTGTCCGTTTATCGTCCTATCTGTGGGTATGTCTATCTGTCTGTCTAGGTTCATGTCTGTTTGTCTGTTTGTCTGTGTGTCTGTCTTTCTGTTGCCTGTCTTCCTATACGCGTGCTTGTTTACTGACTTTTCTGCCTACTGTGTGTCTATCTGTCTGTATGTTCATTTGTGTCTGCTCACCACTTTTGTTATTTGGAAGTTAGCTTCGTTTTGTCAACACAAAGCCAAAACTTATGTGAAGCACTGAAACTTCATTATTCAGAGACTAACCCTTCTGTGCTGGCAACACCACATAACAGCCACCACATATAGAACAACAGAAGTACAGCTACTCGATCAAATTTTGGAATAACAAGGAAAGGATCCTCTGAATAATGCAATATTAAGCTAGTCGCGTATTCTAATTAGTAATAATACAAGTTTTCTGGTTTTCTGAACTCCAATAGTTTCTGATTTTCATTGACTAGTTGCCTAAAGCGAAATGTGATGAATGAAGCGAATTCGGTCCGTCTTATACAGCTGATCGATGATCAAGCATCCAAAGAAAAATGGATGAAAACCTATACACTCCGTCATTTTTCTTGTCTACCTTTTTTCTCCTCATCACTGATGATTCCGACGTAGTCTTCCACTAAAACGATGTTTGTAATAAGCACGGAGAGGAGACTGATCGCAAACCTGAAGATTCACGATAAATAAACACCATGAAAAAAAAACGAAGAGGAGAACTCAAAATCTGAATTCCAGAAGAATCAAAGGAAAGTTTTGCAAACAATGCTTCATCGTTGCTTTTTTTCCTTTTTTTTGAAACCGTTCAATCCTACAAGGTGCTAGTACATTTCCCATTCGGATGATAGTCAGCTGGTTAGTTATTTAGGTTGGTTCACTGGAACGCGGGAAGGTCTAGGCAATTCGAAGGCGTTAGACTATGAAGATACCGACCGTTTTGGATCACAGGGCTAACATTTCGACGGGATCGATTTTTTGTAGTTCCTAATAAATTAAGAATAAGCTGATTTCTTCTTTGGTAATATCCAATCGCCAAGACATTCCATATACAATTTTTGTTGAGATCTTCATGAACACTAAAAGTTTTGTTCCGATGTTGTTTATAAGCCGGGACGAACAACAGTTATAGAGGAGAATGGAGAATAGGCTCTTCATCTGGCAAAAAACTGTAGTTCTGCAACTTAATGACATAAGGAAAAAAACACAAAAGAAATACAATGTGGTACAATGCGTCGGAAGCGCGATAGCTAATGGTGTCGTACTATATATGCATTGTTCCCGGTTCGACACAGCTTAGCAAATTGGTACTACACTCGTTTATGAAAGGCCTCCTCCAGTTAACAAAAGCCAGCGACTTCCCATGGTGGAGATATCGTAAAGCCCTGGCTTGGCTAACTCACGATCCCAGGAAGGATCGACTCAACCCAACCAGCACGATCCCATGACTTTCGTAAATGATGAATACGAGAAAATAAACCAAATAGAAGAGGTGCTGGAATCCACTCAATATGTGAAGGTGGGTCATATAAGTAAAACGGCACTATAAAGTAGTAAACGTACATTAAAAAAGCAGCTGCTGTGTACATGTTGAACAGAACTGGTCCAATAGATATGCCATCACTTCCTAAGGGAATGAAACAAATCTGGAATTAGAGAAACAGTTAATGGGCTGGATCATGCTTTATTTTTGTTACAGAAATAACGTTTTGTTGTACCTGAATAGTCGGCCCTATAGAAAGCCCTAATGTGAAACCGGCGGTTCCAATTGATACTGCACGTACTCTGTTTTTTCGGGTACTGGCTGTGGCGATAAAGCTTTTCAAGACTCCAAAAGTACCTTGATGAACATAGTAAATTACTGACTGCAATTATTTCAGTTGTACTTCAAATAAATTGGAGACTACTATACAACTACAATGGTGCTCAGATATTTGCAAACCATAGACCACGCTAGATTCGAACCCGAGACTACTCTTTCCGTAGGCCGGCTCACGTTTAAATAAAGTGGTGTTGGCACCGTTAAGGTAGAAAACTGACAGAAAGAAAAAGTAAATCAAGAACTTCACTGGTGCAGTGTGTAACACGTGAGTCTTGGAAAGAGTAGTCGCGCGTTCGAATCTAGCCTGGGGAATGCGTTTGGCAAATATGTTAGCATCATTGTGTGGTACTTCTCATAATGCCCTACCATCATAAAGTAATAGGTGGTAAGTAAAAAGTTATACCTTGAAAAGAAACCACTTTAAAAAGGAAAAAGAGTTATGAAGTTATAAATACTACAAATGTTGCTTGTTGCTACGTGTTTTACGAGAAGGATTTAGCTCGTTCGTTTTGGATCAGTGATGTAATCTTATTCTTGTCATTTCATTCATTTTTGCCTTCCCCCATCTCTCTTCCAAGCATCTCCCTCATATGAGGGATCTCGAGCAGGTTAGTCGCGTGGCGCGTCTCCAGGTGGCGGATAAGAGGTGGGGGAGGGGTAATCGCGGAGCAAAAGCGACCGCATGTTTTCCTGAGACGCAGGTGGATCCAGGAGATGGACTCCCTGTTTGTGCTGCGCCAATTTGGCACATACGTGTTTGAGGGGCGTATTCACGCATGCATGTGTGGGTGCGTTTTAGTTTATGTGGATTGTATTCTACGAGTCAATTCGGCAAAACTCCGCATTAAAGTGAAAGGGAAGTATATGGGAGGCGGTTAGGAGTCGCCTCCAACAAATGAGCTCCATGTCCACTCTGGGAAATACTGGCAAGCTAACCGCGAGTATATCCAGCCTCCACGTTCAGAGCCCAATAAGCTATACGTGGGTATCAAAAAGCTAAACACTAAAAGAAATGGGCCTCATTATCCTGACCCTGAAAGAGCTCCAATTCGGCGGCGTTGGATAGGACGAGTACGGAGAGACTGCTAAGATCTCAAGGCCATGCTAAGCTGCCTCGATCGCAAAGACTAAGGTGACGATCTGCACCTACAATGCACGCACACCCGCACACTTGCATCTGAGACTTCGATATAAGGACCATGAAAGCAAGAAGGATAAGGTACAACGTCATCGCACTGGCCGAGACGAGACTACGCCACCCACTCAACGCTGTCTACGACACCGCAGAAGAACTGTTCCTCGGAACTTGCGATAGTAGAGTAGTCGATGGTACCGGTGCTCTTGTCAACACAAGTTTGGCAATGAACAAACATCAGTTCCTTCGATCAACTAACAATCCAGTCGGACGTTAACGATTGAAGAGATTTGAATCAATATCGGCTTTGACCATCTTCATCGTCTACGCACCAACATCGTACTACGACGAAGAAAAAGTCGAAGCATTCTAGATGTCCTTGGAAAAGTTCTACGCAGAAGGCGACACATTCCTTAGGGTCATTCTTGAAGATTTTAACACTGAGATTTTACCCAGAAGAAGGTCTGAAAAACGTCACATTGGGAGCAAGTGATTAGAATGGAACGACCAGGGTGAGCGGCTGTCGGAGTTTATCATGAAAGACCGTTCATGGTAACTCGAAATTCCAGAAGTCCCACTCTTAGCGATGGGCGTGGGAGTCTCTTATTGGAGAGAACTATAACGAAATAGATCACGTCATAATAAATCGAAGGTTTTGCCAGCGATGTCGCTGTTGTCTCGAAACTCTACACGGGATCAGACCATTGCCTCCTTCGTGCAAGATTTCATTTCTAGCGTCAAGTTCAGAAACAGTAATTACTTAAGAAGGCAAAGAATTTATAAACTGGGATTTATTCAGTTCCTTTGTCAACTTTTGTGAAGACACTGTTCTTGATAACACCCACGAAAGACACGATCGACTCATTCAACTCTTCACTTTAACGTTATTAAAGCTGGAATTTCAAAAGCCACCAAAAGATGTCTGTCTCCTGAAACACCCGAGTTGAACGCCAGGTTGGAATCGTACGAACTACAAGTGGCTAACAACTCACGTCCAAACTTGGAAAATAATGCAGACAGGCGATAAAAGAAGGAAAGTAACGCCTCGCGTTTGCTCAACAATAATACGAAGATAAAAGAAGATTTTATAGAAAGAAGATCAGCACTTATGGTCGAGGCCTCCACGGTTAGCAAAAGCATTCGCTAAGCCTACCAAATCTTCGCCGTTGTACGAAACCAACATGATTACCCTCAGACAATGACTGAGACCATTGGCAATTACTACTTGGATATCCTCAACTGCCATGTTCTCATGCTCTAATATGAAATGAAAAAAGATGAATATGTCATCCCACCAACCCGCCAGCTTTCCCTTCCGAAATCCGATATGCTATTTCGTGAGTGAAGAATCGAACAACACCCAGCCCTGAAAGAGTAAGACTTGAACACTTGAAGAACCCCCACCAGTTCACACTAATACAGTGGCTTTGCTCTTTACGCATTATCTTTCGGAATGGAAGATTCCCATTCAGTAAAAGACCAGCAAGACTGTTTTATTGTTCGAGAAAGCTCAGCTTCACGATATGGGCAATTATTGCCAAATCTGCTTGTTGTTTCTCGTAGGTAAACACCACACTCCGGTTGTCCTAAACAGGGCTGACATAGCATAGGAAGAAGAACAGCCATTTGAGCAAGTAGGGTTTGGAAAAGGATTCAGTACGATGGACCATATCCACACGATAACAAGACTCAATGGATTATCGTGAGAGTGCGAAAGGCCGCTGTGTCCCAATTTGATCAATTTATAGAAAGCTTTCTATTCGGTTGAGATGGAAGTAGTCATGGATGTTCTGCGCACACAGGGAGTCCCCACTCATCAATATTAAAGATACATATGTGTGTCATACAAAATTTTATGATCAAAATATCACCATTCTTTAACGATACTAAAACCGACGTCAAAAAGGAGTTAGCCAAGGGAATGACTATTTCGTCAAAATTGTTTGCTGTCACCCTCGAAATCGTCATGAGAACGCTGGCATGGGATAACGTAGGACCGCTTTGGTGAAGACATCGTTTATAACACCAAACATTGGTCAGGTGGAGTGAATGGTTGTCGACTTTGATAACACTTGTTCAAAGATTGGGCTTCAACTGAATCTTACGAAAACGGTTTTCATGATGAACGAATTGGTTTCTTATGTTCCATTCACGCTCAATGGAACGAATATCGCCGAGCGCTCCAGATACGTCTATCTAGGTCGGGAAATCAGCATGTTGAACGACTTAGCTCCAGAGATGAGCAGAAGAAAACGAGCGTCCTAAGAAGCTTTCAAGGGCATCGAGGATATAGTGAAGAGGACAAAGAACACCCGAATCCGTGCCCACCATTTCGACTCAACGGTACAACCTGCCCTAACGCAAGCGTCAAAAACCTGGTCGATGCGTAAGCAGGATGAAAGATCACTCAGCGTTATTGAATGCGCAGTCGAAGAGACAGTGCTAGGAGTATCCCGTTTCATACAAGTGAGTTAAGAGATCCGAAGCTCCAACCTACGTCAAACCTCAAAAATGACAGAGCCGTTTTATACGCCAAACTGTCGAAGGTAAGGTGAGCCGAACGCGTAGTGCGTATGAACGACAACCGATGGACAGGAGCCGTTAGTAACTGGATTCCTCTAAATGTTAAAGGCAGTGCAGGTACACCTCCGACCCGATGTTTAGAGTTCTTCACGAAGAGCCTAGAAGAAAGATAGTCCCTAGAGCGAGCAGAACCCACTGGCCTACTCTTGCACCCGACAGGGAAAAATGGAAGATGGCGCCTGCTTGAGTTACTCGACGATCAACGTTGCTACAGGTTACAGGTGACAGTTAGCGAAACTTAAATGTTAAGCATTTTTCAATGTTTCTCGTTTTTTCTTCAGATTTTAGATTGATATCGTCTCTGATTCTATGAAAATTTTCCCAAACTTGGAAACATAATAGGAGGAATATTTTTTACCCTAAAACCTCACCACATGAAAAATGAGTTGTAATCCACTTGCCATTTTGCTCAGTTCAACAATTTTTTAAAAAGTATCGTTCACGTTTAGGTTAGGTTTAGAAGACCGACCAGAACCGAATCCTGTCAAGAAACGGGCACCCAACATCATCCATTTTGCATGTGAAGGAAAACCAGGAAGAACTGCGTATACAAGATTCCCTAAAAAGTATCACAAATAGTTGGCGAAAGACAAGACGTTGTGTAATGACCAGTTCATTGGGATACATCATGCATTCTACTCAATTCTTAGCATCGTAGAGATGACTGAATGCATATTTCGTCGGTAAAACGGCATCCCATGGGCTATCGATTTGTCAGTGCAATGTCTTGACCCTTCAGAAAAGTCTGGTGGCGTTTAATGGACTAGAGATATGGGAGGTTTGATTAGCCTGTTGAGACATGGAACCAGTGATCATATGTGCATTGCACGGCATTTCTCACCAATGTGCTACATGCTCCGAGTGCAATGAACTGAATTCCTTACTAACCCAAAATTTATGCCCAGTAGCTCAGTTAGGGATAAGAGTATAATAGAAAACGCCACATCCTAGATAAAGGTTGACCAGAAGACAGCAAATTTTTTTTCCATTCTACAAAGGTCAGCGAACACTTGCGATGAAAACGTGAGTAAAGCCGCGGAATACCTAAGTATGGACACTGTGGGGAAAAATCCAACACAGTTATTTATTGGTCCGAACATTTTTTTCAGGATTATCGTAAAAAAAAACGCTGTGAATGAATGATTACCGAGTGAACTGACAGTAAAACCGAAGGATAGAGGCATTTTAGTAGAGCCAGTAAGCTGATTCCAGAAACCAAAGAATGGATTCGCCTTGAAAAGTACAATTCATGAGCTGTAAAGACAAGTAATATTTAAAATAAAACTAAACACAACTTTCAGTTGCTTTTTGGAAGTTTCGAAAGTGTTCTGTAGAATACCTATCAGCAGTAAAATAGTGAAAGATGAAAAACTGAAAAGACTGGCTAGACAGGCCCCTTAATTACATTATAACCCTCCTGTGGCTTATGATTAACAGTAGAAGGGAAGAATTCTTGTTGACGAGTAGCACATATGACTTAAAATAAATATAAATTTAAAACATTTCTTAGCAAATCGTGTCTAAAAAATGTTTACAATCACAACATTTCACTCTTCTGTTGTCGTTGGTAAGCCACGAAGAATAAAAAAAGCTCTGTAAAGAACATCTAAGCCTTTGTAAATAAACACTGTAGGGAAAGGTGCAGTGGGTTGAAGATGACATCGTGTCAAGATCAGCAAGAGCAACAAAGACAGCAGCAACGACATCGACAACAACAACAACAGCAAGAATGAGAGAAACAACAATAATTTAACAAAAACATGGCGCAAAAATTGAATAACCAATTCACTCACCATTGCACATCCCAGGCTGCTGGCCGCCACCACCAAACCGAAGAAATCCATCGTTGTTGTCGGATCAATCTAAAATAGATCAATGACTGGTGAATAGAGAGTTAATAGAGTGTATTGGGGTGCTCTTACTTTTACAATAAGTTCAGCGCTCTAGAATACAGTGTTTCACTTTCACCTGTATTTCGTTGGTCAGACAAGATTTCCGTTCATTAGAATCTCAGGATAGTCGTGATAGCTCTTTATCACGACGTCACTACAGGTACTCACCAGCCTTTGTGAATTGGAGAAAGATTTTTATCTAAAAAGTAAGTTGCTGCAAGAAAAGCGTTGTTTCCCTACACTGATTTACTCTCAGCTGAACTTTCGGATAAGAACGTCGAACTACTCAGCATCTGCGTTCTCGCCGTGGAGAAATCCACCCATGTTATACACCGCAGCTCCCTACCTAGGAATATTCACAGGATCCACGATTAAGCGAGATACCACTAAGCGGATTGTAGAGCTTGTGATTTAAATCGTCATAGAAGGAGAAAGGATAAAGCGTTCGGTGTGAATGAATCCCTGAGGTGCATCAACATTGGAGTTCAATAAGCATCGCATTAGAAAATAAACGCATAGCTCACCTTTAGGTGATTGTGGGACATGCAGATGTATCAAGTCAATATTCTTATTTTTCTAAACAAGCCAAGTTCCGGTTTACTCCAACCGCGGAGGGTTGGAGGACTTACTTTGCACGGAGCGTTGGATAGAACGCGAGACTAAGTGCGTCGCATGACAACTCTAACCGCTGAAGTACACGCATATAAATGACTAAAGAAATCGCTCACTTCACTGAGATATTGCCACGTAGACATGAAGTAGACGCTCATTTGAACACCATTCAAACAATTCATAAAAGCACAGGCGTAAATCGACGGCCATGGTGTTTGTCGTGTGTCCAAATCGCTATAAAACCATCTTTATACACAAAACACCTTGAAAAGCATTTGAATAGCCAAATGCATGCTATTCAGTCGAAAATGTTCAGTTGTGAATGGTAGAAGTTTCAGGCGTTTCTTCGCTCTGGTTTGCACATTCTTTAATTTGTGAATCTTCTACATGTCGGCTTCGACTACCGATTTGATAAAATGTTCAGATCCCTCTATTTTACTTGCGTGTTACTACTTACTTGCGAAATAATACGCTAAAGTGCAGAAATACAAGGAAAAATAAAAGCGAATAACAAGAATAAGAATAATAATAAAAGGAATAAGATGATGCTAGTGATCCCTGACGAGCCACCTAAATCTTTCTGGAAAAATAAATAGCAATGAGGACCATTGACACGGACCGTAAGCTCTGAAAAAGACGAAGATTTCTCACGTTAGCCGACAAAAAGTTAGATAACGAACTCGTGCAAGTTCAGGTCGAGGCTAAGTGAAAATCGGTTTAGTAAAGCAACGTTTTGCTCCTTCACATTAGTCCCTGACGGTACTCTGCCGACAACAATCTTTCATATCACTGATGCACTGTGGAAAGAAAAAATTTTAAAATGCATAGATCACAATCGAATCGAAATCTTAATCAAATAAGCTGAATAACTAAACCCAAATACAACCAAAATGATGCTGAGACATTTGCCAAACTCCGGAATGCAGGTATCTGCGGTAGGATTGATCAGTCCCGATGGCAGTTGATTGCTGATGGCAATCGTAGATAGAAAACTAGCTGAGACACGAGAAACGAATGACACACATGGTGTGGTGATGAACGCGTTAGCCCCCGGAAAGTGTAATAGCACGTTCGTTCCCTACCCCATACACCTGTCCGGGGTTTTGCAAGTAGATAGCTTAACAAACAACATCTTGGTTGTATTTCACATGATAGCCTACCGTGAAAAATTGTAGTAGGCAGCAAACAATAAGTTAAGATTGTTGACCCAGATAATCTCTTAAAAAACTTACAACTTTGAAATTAAAGTCATTAAAGAGATTTGCTTTTCACCAATAGTGCTTTTATAATACTGGCCCACTATTAGAATTTATTGATTCTGAAGATTTTTCCGATCTATTATTGATTGATTCTTTAAATAAAAACACGAATAGTTCCCAGGATCGACTTTCTCTTAACTTCGGCATTGTAATATGAATTTGTCGTTTTCTTGTTCAGCAATCGCGAGGTTTTTAAACAGCATACATTTACTTCCATAAAAAACACAATACAATACAACGCTAGCTGACGTTTCGGCAGTATCGCCTTCCTCAGAGCCTGGAAGAAAAACGCGAATACTTGTCGAGGTTCTTCTTATCACTGATAGGCTTTTTGATAGTGTGATTATGAAAAATCTACTACCTGAATGAAGTTTTCGATTGCATGATGGTGGCGTTGAGTGCAATAGTTTTCCCGCTATTCTTCACAGTTCAGATACCTCGGCATAAAATTTCCATTCATTAAACTTGGTCGACATTGTGTCTTTCATGCAATCACTATTTTCAACTTCGCCACTCATTCTCATCGACGTGCTTGTTGATTGTCGATGAGAAGAAACCAAGAGAAAACCAGACGCGTATTCACTAACGCCAACAATAGGTCTCCGATTTTTGTACTTCGATTGAAATGCGAATTTTTCAGCTTCGGTTTTCTGCCGCAATTAAAACCACATCCTTAAAAAATGGAAATTATGGAGTAATTTTTAAAGATGTGCCTAATTTGTAAGCGGGGATTAAGAAGACCAATATAATGACATTGCACTAAGAAGAAGAGATTATAGACGGCGAAAAGCTTCCTCCATGTTTGTTGTGAAAATGCATAGCTGTCAGTCACCATCCAGATAAAATGATAAAAGGGTAAAGCTTCCGGCATTGATCAATCCCTAAGGGATGCGCCATGTATTCGACCTCATTAAGCATTGTTTGGAGATGATTGAATGCATATCTGGCCTTTACAATGACGCCGCGGCGGCCTACCGATGTATCGAGTCATTGCTGCTATCCTCCCAGACAAGTTTGGTACCAATTTTCCGACCGCGGAGTGATGGAAGACTTGATAGGCCGTGAGCGCGAGGATCGATTCCACGTGTGTGTCGCAGTGGCGCCTCCGATCAGTGCGCCACACGCGCCTTTTCGTTGATTCAGGTAAGAAAGATAAAAGTTGTACGAGAAAAATATCGCACTAGCTCGCAGGCAGCAGAATGTGGTCCTTTTTTTCTTTTCGATAGAGAAGGTATTTTTCAATGTTTTTACACATACACAGCACACCATACTTAAGAGCAATTATTACAATAATTCTATTGAAATATCTACATAAAAACCTATTCCCCAGGATAGATTTACTACTAACACTGAACTAATCAATAAATTAATGTTTTGTTGGAACCTCATGGAGCAAATCCCAGGACCAACTTTCCCTTAATCTCGGTATTGATCAATAATTTATTACTACACAATAGCTGACGTTTCAGCGGCTTAGCCTTCTTGAAAGCCTGGAAAAGTAAAGGGCAAATTGACACGCAATCTACTCAGTTAAATGCTTTCATTACCTCTACAGAAGAACTCGATACATAACTTTTCCACTCTTCTGGAATACAGCTGCTTTTAAGCGTTCAGTTACTGGTTCTTTGTAAGTCTTCTTCCAGTTATTTTGTGGTCACCAGCAACACAGTCTTAAATAGATGAGAAATGTGTCTTGCCCATACAAGGCATTCTTTGCTGTTCATTCTCGGGTTACTGACATTTCTCCAAAACGCTTCAAAGGTTTTACGCTCTGATGTTTTGGATTCCTTTACTAAGTTGGTGAGTTCCACTTCAAAATCTTCTCCGTTATTTCTCTTTGACCTACGTGCGTGTAGTGAAGCAGTCTCGTGTTTCAACCACAATGGTGCTGGGATATTTGCAAAACTCCATTGAGCAGGTGCCTGCGATGGGGAGCGAACGAAAAATGCTCGCTTTGGTTCATCAGCAAAAACAGTGAATTAATGTTTCCTTCCCGAAAGGACACGAGGTTGTTAACAAAAACATTGCTCAAAAGTGACTAATGTTTCGACAGTTTCGCCTCCCTTAGAGCCCGGAAAGGTCAAGTTAGCAGACAAACTATTCAAACACTTTCCCACCCCTGCCAGAAAAACTCAATACTTAAATTTCAACCTTACGATAAACTGTTTCTCTTAAAAAATCCCTATTTTCTTCTTTGTAAGTTTTCCATTTATTAGGAGGAGACCAACCACACTGAGTCTTACATGGGCGAGAAACTGAGGTATGGCACGAGATCACGCGAGATCGCCAAGCCACTCCTCCCTACGGTTCATCCGTGGATTTTTGGATTTTATCCAAAACCCTTCAAGTGCTTTACGCATTGATGTTTTAGATTCCAGTGTGGAGATAGTGAGTTTTGCTTTAACTCTTCTCCGCTATGTCTCTATATCCTGTGTCTAGTCGAAAGTTTTGTTTAATCCTATGTTTCCATACAGGTTTTCGTTCTACTGCATGGATACAGAGTTGTCTACCCGTTTCTCGAAAGTATTTGTTCCTGCATTTTAAATAACACATCAGCTGCACTGCTCTAGAAGTTTTCTTGACCGTTATCCACTTAGCGCAAGAGTGCGGCTTAAGCGGAAATCAAAATGTTTCCTTTGGTCGCTCTGGGATACAGATTAACTCAAGAGATGGACTTTGTGTTGCTGCTTTGCTAAATATATTTGTATCTTCTGTTCACACGTAACAATATTTTAGTATAGTTGTATTTCGTAGTCGTCCATGTAATAGGATTGTATCCCATGCGCATCGAAGGGCAAAAATGTGCAATCATTTGACTGAAAGAAAAAGAGTGAAGTCATCGGCACCTACCATTAAAGCTTTCCCTATAAAGCATGCCAGGCTGCTCATAGCTTACTTCTATGCACAGCTTGGTGATCTGCTTTTAAAGGAGTTCGTGGTAAAGATAGCCTTGAAAAGAGCATTATGCTCCTAATTCCTTTCACTTTGCTCCTCATTCAATTGAGTAAGGATAAAGGATAAAAACTCTTGGCGTTGATCAATCTCTGAGAGATGCGCCATGCATTTGACTTCAAGTATCGTTGGAGGTGATTGTTTGCACATCTGGCCTTTACAATGACTCGCGATGGCCTAATGTATCGAGTCAGTGCTGCTATCCTCTCAAACAAGTCTGGTACCAATTTTCTGACCCCGGAGGGATGGATGGCCTGGTGGGCCATGGGCGCGTGGATCGATTTTATGTGTGTGTCGCAGTGGGGGCCTCCAACCACTGCGCCACACGCGCCCTTCCATTGAGTAAAGTGAGATCAATAGGAAACATTAACATGTTGTAGGAAAGAAGGACAGATTTTTTGGTGCTTTTGAATCGCTCGATGATTAACTGTGTTGCAGAAGCGGAACAAATGTTTATGTCGAACTAATCACTGAATTACAAAAGCTGTTTTTAGAGGTTCAGGAGCAAAAAGAGTCCTTCTTCCCCTTTATTGTGCAAAATTCACAGTGTTGACTAACTTTTTATGATGCGACGCCGCATGCATTGTGCATTCATAAATTTGTTAATCCAATTAACTATGAAGTTTCCGTACCAGTGTACCCATCGCGACGCATAGTCGTTGACCTAGAAGAGCTTAGCTATGATGCAATCAGGCTTCCTTCTAGGAAAGGGACAGCGCTTGCTTTGAGCTGAGGTCTTAGATAAGAATATTCTCATCTTCAGTGGTTCTCCTGTAGACGAAATGCATCCCTCTACGGTATCGTGTCGTAAGCTGAGGCACAAGAACTATCGTTCTTCACGGTGACCTAGTGAAGGAGGCACCTAAGCTCTTGATCTGAGTGGTATAAGTTCGTCGCATTTCACATCATCATATATTTGTAGTAAAACAATAGTGTAACAAGATCACATTAAAGTTTGAGAAACATTTGATATCATTCCAAATGTGTAAGGCAGCGATTTCGGTAACCATTGGGTGAATTATGGGAACTGATGAGTGAACGTGGAGTTTTTTGGGCCGTAGTCATGCACAAAGTCTGTTGTCTGAATAGCTGGACATATCTTAGTAGAGAGAATAGGGTAGATGGATGGTGTTCGTTTAAACGGTGGCCACACTTGATCCCTAATAAAATAAGCACATGGTCCTTTAGATATTCATTGGTTTTCACTAGTAAGTCCCCGTGAGTTCTCTTCGCCACGATTAGGACGTCGAGAATTTTGATTATTTACTTGTTATGTAAATTCATATTTTTTATGATGCAAACAAATGTGGGAGAAGGAGCATGAGACACCGTATTTGATCCGATTTGATCCTTCTGCAGTACCAATGCTTTACTACTTCATCCATTTATTATAGGAAATGAAGATCTTTCATGATGATCCACAAGTCATCCCATAACAATATAATGTCAAAAATATTAAAAATATAATGCCTTCAGCATTGATCAACCTTTGAAGAATGTACCGTGTATTTGACTTCATTTAGTATTGTTCGAGGCGACTGAATTCATATCTGGCTCATAGAATGATTTGTCACGGTCTACCAATGCGTCAAATCAGTGCCGTTTTCCTTCTTGAGAGCTCTGGTGTAAATTTCCTGATCCCGGAGAAATGGAATGCTTGGTGAGCCTAGGGCACGCGATCCAACCAACGACGACTTGTGTACTACGGGCCACCTCTAACCAATGAGCTGCATGGCCTCTCTGGAAAATACCGCTTGTGCATAGTTCGATGAATAAGTGGTTCGTTCTTTTATGACGTGCTGAACCCAGCGCTTCTTGCATACACTTCTCTGTTTTCCAACCTCCTTCAAGGGAGGTGGTCTGGCTCGCGTGCGGTAGGGCTTCGGCAAGATGGCCTCAAGACCTTTGTAAAAACAAACTTCTAGAAAAAGATTGCGTATCGAATTATTGAGTGAATTTAGAACTTTATAGAGATGTATAATCCTATGCTAAACTCTGTGTGGAATATTAATTGTTGCCGACGCATATCGAACGAGGTTTTCCTTTCATTGTTTCGCCACTTTTTTCCGTTTCATAATGCAAACATTTGGCTTTTTTTACAATTCTTCGCGCCAAAAAAAAAACGAAAAACGAAGAAAAAATCGTACAAAGCTTTGCACCTTTTTATCTGCTCTGTTCTATTCACATTAATCCCTACTTATCAAACAAGCAGCGACCATTCCGACATCGTTGGCACTAATGAGAGCTTTTAGTCCAGAAATAGTTGGTGGATGATGTGAGGGCTACCTACTTAATGTTGTTTACATACACTCTTTTGTATGAAAGATTTCTCAGATTTTTCCAGCGTTTTACTGCACATCAGAGTACTTACTCATATTTAATTTTATTAATTATTAATTAATGTAACTAAGAAATGCGCTTACTACGCTTTGTGCTAGCTGAAAGCAACACCGACTTCTGCACGATGTGCGCAATGATGTATGTCCGGAAGAAAAACAAGTTGTTATCACCGGACATTATCATTATATCGACCATCAGCAACGTGTATAAAAGGGCATCACTGAGTGAGGATGCCTCATTCGAAGAGATGGCTCAGTGAAGAAGACGTGGCTCGACACGAAGCGAAGCTGCCACGTCGAGACGAACAACAAGCATGGACCACCGACTCGGATCATCGACTCTGAGGAAGACGAAGACGTCGAAACGTTGGCCGAAAATGAATAAATATCATTATCAACCTCGTGTCAGCTCATCAAAGAAAGAATACATATGTAACTATTAATTTCAAATTATTATTTACTCCCTACTCTTTTTTAATGGTATGGTATATTGGGTTTGTTAAGCAAACACGAGGTTGGTATCATGAAATTCATTAGCATGCAATGGTGATACTTCAACACCGCTCCGGGCCAAACAAGCCTCTCATCCCTGCAGGGTAAGGAACTTGGTACCGGACTTGTCTGGGAAAGTCCAATTGCACTCTCTGCAGTCTAATTGAGAAAGCTCAAGCCCAGCTATCTCAGGGCTCCAGGGAGAATTGCTCGACCAACATTCTACGACGTTCAAGACGAAATGAAGATCCTCAAGCAGCAACCGAAGCCACAGGGAAAAACTTGGAAAACCTCGGTGGATAATGGATGCGAGGAAACGAATCTAATGTGAGAAATGCTGGGATCCGCGTAGTAGAAGTGAAGACGGTTCATATAAAACGGAATAAAAAAATATTTTGCTCAAAAAGAGTACAAAGAGCTGTGAATTTTGTATTTTTCGGTAAACATTACAAATGTGATTGTGTCGTTTTCGACAGTTTCCTTTCGTGTCAGTGGGTCTTCTCATTTATGTAAAGCAGTTGTATCGGTATAAAGATAACAAGATGCTGCTAATTTGCTTAGATGTCCAGTTTTCATATTCGCAAACCTGTGAATCATCTGCCATTCGGTACGATGTCTTGCAACTAGCCTCAATAAAGACGACCGCCCTCGTGTATACGTTAAGATGTTGCCTAGAGATTTTTCGTCTTCCTTCCTCACAGATATGTTGAGTGGTCGTCAAGCAGAGTTATGCTGTTGAAGCACGATATCGTTGTGCTAGGAAATTCTCAGGTTTACTCTTGGTGAACTACGCCGAACTTCGCAAAATGTTTAGGATGAGATTCAAAACGACCTTCATTTTTTGGACATGGTGCAGTTTGATGCAGTAAGACAACAAAGGACATGATACTTTTTATTCTTATTGAGCAAACACGAGGCGTTATTTTATTCTTTATTCAAGAACAAGCTGACGTTTCAGCGGATTTTGCCTTCCTCAGAGCCTGGAAAGGTCAATTTCACCGCAAACTGCTCAGTCAAATACTTCCATAACCAAACAGGGAAAGTGCTAAGCCATGATTTCAATCATTTTGAACACAGTCTTCCACTGAATATGCCACGTGAGGACCAACCGCGCAGAATTCATATGGAAGCGTAATGTGCCCCTCCCATCAGAATAATAGGCTTATATACTGGCTCATTATCACGCGTGATAATGAGGCATTCTTGCCTGCGGTTCATTTTTGGATTCTTAGAATTAATCCAGAATGTCTAAAGAATTTTGCGCGCTTGTGTTTTCGACTCCTGTGCGAGGACCATCATTTCTACTTCAAAATCCTCCCCGTTATGTCTCTGTGTCCTACCCGTGCCTAATGGGGTATGTGTTTTAAGTTTACCAACTAGGTGTTCTTTTATGCGGACACAGAGTGGTCTACCCGTTTCGCCAATGTATTCGTCTCCGCACGCCTTGCAGGTGATCAGATAAACTGTACCCGAACTCATGCAATCACCATCTCTACCGTTGGGGCAAATTATACAATTTTGCGTTGTAAATAGATGGTCACACAGGCGGTAGCGAAGTAGTTGGCTTTTTAGAGTGCTCGGTGATATTTCGATTATTCTAACCCTGGCCCTTAGTTCGTTTGAGATGAAGGGCAGGTTAAAAGGGGCCTTATTATCGCTAAAGTTATCTTTTGGGGGCTTGGGCCTTCCTCTCCATAATCACGCGTGATATTGGGCAGTATTTAAGTGTTGTTTTGATGTGAGAGACACATTACGCTTCCAAGTTAACTCCGTGAGGTTGGTCTCCACATGACATACTCAGTGGAAGACTCATAGAAAGCGGTGAGTGTGCAAAGAAGTTGTTCTGTGTTCATTGTGATTGAAATCTTGGTTTAGCATTTTCTCTGTTTGGTTATAGAAATGTTTGCCTAGGTAGATTTCGGTCAACTTGAGCTTTCCAGGCCTTTCTGTGAAAGACGAAATCCGCCGAAACATAAGCTTGTTCTTGAATAAAGAGGAAAATAACACCTCTCGTTTGCTCAACAAGAATAAGAAAATTATTTGATGAATGACGTGGTTAACAGAAAGTCGGTCGTGGGGATTATAGGACATGGTAGTCCGCATATGCGTTCTTGGATCTCCTGGCTTCATAAATTTTGCAAGTGTTCTCTTAGCTGAATTCTTGGAAGTGAAACTTCAAGCTGATTCAAAGTGGGTGGACCCTTTAGATAGATAAAGCATTACGTGTGCCTTTGCGATAAAAGCAATGATGATTTCTTCCTACAGTGGGACAACTAAGATTGTAGAGCCGAGTGACATTTCCGTTTCTCATGCCGTGTGCAGGAGTAGGCACATGGGTTTTGCTCACTCCAGAGACTCACCGAGCATCATGTCCTTGTATTTTTATGAGGAATCCTGAGCATCGGAAGATCCTGATAGCTTACCAAGCCGTTCAATTCCTCTTATCCGGCTTAAACGCTGAGTCGTTTATCATGTTGATTTATCGATATAGATATATAAAATAGTAGTTCTCGTAGATGTTCATTTCGTAGAGCAGGGATAGGGAATCGGAAACATATCCGTTTCTTAGTAACGATAATATCAACAAAGCAAAGGTGTTCTAGCTGTAAACCAGTAATTTGCATTCCTATATTTTCCTATTCCAATAGACCCATGATGATCTACAGTACAGTTGTAGACAATTTGTCACTAGTGGCCAGGGCAGAGTGAAGAGCCATTTAACTCTAGCGTAACGTGAAAGTATTGGTAGACAAAAAGACGCCTGAATAGTTCTGGGTGCAATGAGTCATTCTTTGAGAATGCTTAAATAATAAATGAATTCTTTAAGGAATTTCATTGTCCTAGAAGAATTGTTCCGGTGAAGAGCTGTGATGAAACCTGCAACACATAACAATGGAACAAAGACTTCGGATAATCAAACCACGGTCAGTTCAAGGTTTGTTGTTTTCTCTTAACAGCATCTTGCTGTTTCTTCATTTTTTTTATTCAAATTTGATATGAGACGACAGTTTTTTCCAGTTCTCTGTCTGCGAAATATGACGCAATGGAATCGCCGTGGAAATCACTGTGGATTTCTATTGGACTACAGTACATGATAGGCATACAGATTTCGATTTACTTCATGTCTATGTGGCCATATCTAAGTGCAGTTAGTATTGAAAAAATTTGCTCGTTTGCTTCCTTGCCAATATTTAGTAACCTAAAGAACGCGTAGAAATGATTAGTAATAGATTTGTCAAAGCTAATTGGTCTCAAAGGATTCAACAAAACCATGTAGATAAATGCTGAATTAAGCTGATAATCGATCAGCCAGCGTTTTTCTCCTTGTTTTCTCTTAACAGCATCTTCAGAACTTCAGCTCAGCCCCTTTCGATGTCGGGCGACCAGCCGATCGCTCGATTCGACCAAACTACCGTCTACATCAAATTTGCTCTACACCACCACTCATCCATGATCGAGAACATTGATTTGGTCAATATTAAAGCGGAGTCCAATATCCATGCAACCTCACTTGATAGAGTTGGTTTTTAACCCATCCCGCACGCATAGTTAGGAGACTATACTGCCCAAAGCGGTTTATGCTAAACGACCGTATGGAACTATAGTCTCAATATTCAGTTTAGTGAGTTCCAGAGATTTTTTTTAATCGCACCATATACTCTTTCGATAGTTAATCGAAAGCAGGTAAGCCATTCTTTACACTTATTGATTTACAAAAAAAAACACTTTTTGGAAGAAGTTTATTGACGAGTAGTTTGACTAACAATTAACTGTTATTTAATTCTAATCCTTATGATTAATTGTGGGAATTTTATGGAAAGCGTGGGTTGAAAAAATGCTGAAATGGACTGGATATAACTTCGAAAACACTTTCAGGTGCAGACAGCAATGTATTTGTATAATGGGCCATAGTAACGCAGTTAATAGTAGCACACATATTATTAATATCTATAAAACGATCAGAACCTCTCCTGCAATCCTGTTATGATAAAAACACCTCAAGTCCTCCATTTATTTAAGGAAGTTGTGCTGACTTTCATTGATAAGCTAACCCGAAGTTGTTACCAGACATTTCTTAGGCTAGCGTTTCGACGTTTTCGTCTTTCTCAGCGTAGATAATCCGAGTCAGAGCTATACAGTCGTTCGTCCTCTGGAAATCATGTCTTCTTCTTATTCGTGTGGTGCATCCGAGAAGACGAACGACTGTGGACCATCGCGTTGGTTTTTCAATGAAACGAGACACGCTGACCATTCATGCCGAATTTAAATGACGGTCTGTTTGAAAAATACAGACTTTTTAACGGCCAAAAAACCAGAAAGTCTGCAGGCGACGGAGTATTGGGCATACTCGGTTGGGGCAGCCATAGCATTGGTTAGCCAGGGCGGAATGGGTTAATCTATCGAGAGGTCGTACGAGTATCGGATGGGAGGTGAACATTTTTGAGTTATTTCGTAGTTAGATGGGATAGATCTCACATTCTTCATGGCCAAAATACACCATAATTAATTTAAAAAAATTTTTATTTAAAAATTGGCCTTATAACATTATTTAATGATGATATATTTAGTTGGATCGGACAGCAACGGTAGACTTTTTCGGATGGGTGGTAGCAGCGTGCAGTTTAGGATGCTCTGTAGTAAGCGATAGTAAAAAAAATTCGTTCTTTTTAAAACTTTTTTCACAAAAGTAAACAGTTTTAGCCGTCTTTCCCTAGTTTTTGATAAACATGTAATTTTCTTTAGACGAACCCACTATTTGGAATGTGGAACCAGAAAACAATGGACATGAAAACACCGATGGTTGTTGGGATGGTGATGATTATCGTCGGTTAGTAAAGCAATTCCCATCCTTCTCTATTAATGAATGTTGATATGTCTGAGCGTATCTGGTTTGTATTCGTCACCTTGACACGTCCATAAACTTCTCATTGAATGAATGGGAACTACATGGTGGAGACACAGTACTCAATCCAACAAATTCCACGCCCCATGTGAACTACCAACACTAAAACCTACAGGCTTTTCATATAAACCCACCCAACCCTTTCTTCGTGGCAAAGTCGAACCACCTAATGTTAGTCATGCGTTCGTCATGCACAATAAGAAATTAAGTGCCAAGAAGAATTAATCCATCGGTTATCGTATTTTCCAAATGATTGGATCTATTCACTGGGCAGTTGCTGGCGTTCACTAAAAAGAAATGAAGATTGTTGATGCCAGCTCAATTCGCTAGCAGATTTTTACGATTGCGGATGATACAGTATGGTAGACTCAGAGCATATACTAGGACCAAATTCGTTATTCAAATATTAAATGTGCCTTGAAGGTCGCATATATAATAATAACAATGTTCAGGACAAAGTATTTATGGTTTCCTCCCGTTGCTTGATTCCAATCAGAAATGGGTCATGATGCTTGCACGGCTAATCACAGGACTCGGAACAGGTGCTGCTGTTCTTAATTGTTGTAAGATGGGTGACATTAAAGATACTACGCCGGTAGAAAGTTATTTTTCTTCTTTTTTAAATTTCATAGTACTAATCGTGAAAGCAAAAAACACTTTTGCTCTAACTTATTGTAAGCGACTGATCAAACGGCTAAAAGAATAGTTGTGGTTTAGAGATAACCCCGCGTAAGGAAACAATGGGGTTAAATCAGCCGTTATAAAGGGTTGTTTTCCTCAACAAGCTGTTCATTATAAAGATAAAATGGAGAGATTTAGTGTCGGACTTCGATCTCATCGATGTTCTTCACTTCAGAAGGATTGCCTTAGTTGAAATAGAACCGCCCATTCTTATCAGAAAGCCGGCCAAGAGTAGGCCTATGTCTTGGCAAGGTCTGACAAACTACTGCTAGTTACGTTTTCACCAAAACTTATTTATAGAGGTGATCCATACCGAAAATATGTTGTGATTTGTGCCCTTCGAATTAGCGAATCCCCTTGTCTTTGGTGAGTGGCTGGAACAAAGTAATTCTCTAAGTTGCCTACTCGACTACGTCGGTGACTAACATTATGACAGGTGACACAGCAAGTTTGTAATAAGTAGCAACTTTTTTGTCACTTGCCATCTTTAGTCTGTTGCAACATTTATATAACCAACGTATACCGAGCTTCTCATGACGTAGCACATTGTGCCGCCACCTGTGGTAGTCATTTCCCCGGAAACTGCGAAAATAAAGATCATTCCACCAAAAAGTGCGAACTACTCGTAGTTAGCGGTTTACTGATTCGCAACTGATAGCGGGATTACAGATAATATTACCAACATATTGTTGTGAGAAATAACTATTCCAGTGAATTCCACTTGATAGCGTCCACAGAAACAGGATTTTTACAAAAATACTCTTCTCAATGGCAAGTAATCCAGGAAGCATATCTGTACTGAGAGCTTACGCGGCAACCGCTTCTCTGCCTCGTGACCGACTTCGAGTAGTTTCATTGGGTACTGCCGGAATGGTCCTCGGTCTTTCTTCTGGACCGGCCATTCAGGTATGTACATCGATCGATTCTAAAGCGTCCAAATCAAAGTTAAATTTATTTGAGAAGTTTTTATTAGCCACATATTCTACTGGCTGAGGACTTTATTACGTTTTAAAACCCCTGCAGATAAAGTATTCTTGACCTTTCACAAGTGACATATAGTAGATTATTAATCGTGTTTGGTGATGTTACTATTGTTCATAATTCCGCGATTCTTCTGTATTGAGGGATTGCGAATCGGTTAGTTTCGAGGCTACGTGGTGCGGCCTCAGTTTGTGGATAATTTAGTGTTTGCTTATCGAAGAAAAACTGTGGATAAGTAGCTAAAGAAAGCGTACTTACGGATTTTACCTTGCACGCAAATTCGGCAAGAACTTGTAATTAAATGAAATAGAAGTATGTATCCAAATCGTTTTGAGGTGACGCCAACAAATAAGCTGCTCGCTTACTCTGTAACAGCACGCAAGTTATATCTGAGCACCGTCCACAAAAAAGATAACAACCAAAAAGAGTTTGATAAATCAGTCTTGGCCAGGGCAAATGTGGGGTGACCACTAAGATTTCAGCAGCCATTTTATGCTGCCCAGGTCTAAAAGAACTACTGTGACGATTTGTACTTATAATACACGCTCGCTATCATCTGAATTCCCCATTGACGATTTTCTATACGTTTCAACTCTTTCTAGGCTGTGTTCACGACTATTGGTGAAAAAGGTTTCATGATTGGTCCGATGATTTTCAACATGTACACATTGCCAGCGTTCTTTATGGTTCTTCTTTCGATCATCTGCTCCATCGTCGTCATTACTGTATTCGAGGAAGACTATGTTGGGATTATCAAGCAGGACGATAGAGAGGGTAAACAGAACAATTTTATCGCTTAACGCTTCTCATTGCACAATACTGAAACCGCTAATAATGTGAATAAAAAAATGGCTTTTAATAGAAAAAATTATAATAAAATAACTTTATTTTTAGGAGATTCATATGTGGTCATACCAAACTTTGACCTGTTACCGGCGCTGATATGTATTTATCTTTGGATTATAACGTCGATGAATGAGATTAATATAGCAGTGTGGGTCTAGTTTCTCATATCCTAAGAAATTTAACTGGAGAGGTTATTGGTATCTATGCAACAAAAGACAAAATGCCTCATAAAACATCTCAAGTTCTCTTCCAACTCTTCGCTGATTCCTTCCCTCGCATTCATTCACTCACTCTTGCTACTATATTTCTCTCTCTCTCGCTCTCATTCCATGGATGCGCTACAGAAGTTTCTGTTGTCCTCTGAACAGAAAGGAACCAGAGCAAATCCAGCACCTGAATGGGTATCGATATGATAAGTTGATATCTTGACGAATTTCGTTACCCGTTCAATTCAATGAGCGGACGCAGCAACAAATCTAGTTGAGCAGTTCGTTTGACGTACCAAAATGGATCCATTTTCCTCCCCATTTCAGTTGACAAATTTTTATTATAGGCTTTTTGTTCTTGTGCCAGTGCCGTCTTTTTTTTTTAGCATATCAACACCGTGGGCGAGTGCCATGTATAATTGGAAGGATTCCGATGCGGTTCTCTACAACGGAATCTTTCAGACATTGTCATGCTTGGTATCAGCAGGGAATAGTGTCATAATTGGTTGTACACCCGTAGGAAATATGTATGCCTAAGTTCAATAATTTAGCTTTCCTTGGCTTTGTTATGGTTATTTTTTAAAAAAATGTTATCACTTTTATACCTGCAGCGAGAAACGGAAACAAATCATATTTGGTGAAATCATGTTCCTGGTTTTTCATATCATCGCGTATCCATGGCCATTCTATGATGGACCGTTGACATATATTCCTGTCGGTGAGTTCATAGAAAAATACTTTGTACCCGAGGCTACTAGGTTGCACGGAGCTTAACAACCATTTTTACGTTTGCTTCCCTACAATGTGCCTTCTGTACGATCCGTAATTCAGTTAACCATCGAAAAATACGAGCCAATTAAGTTCTTCATTCTTACTTGTCACACGTTAGAGTTGCTCAGAACGGGTCTATCAGCACAAGCGCACAAAGCCCATCATACTTTTGTGCTGAATCCTAATTCGCCATATTGTAGTCCAATGTCTATTCAATCAATAGCTCATCCATGGCTGCTATGGCATAACGCTTACTCCTAGAATTATAAACGGTAATGGTGAACTGTTTCTTAACTATGGTACCAAACTTGGGATAAGAAATGAGTTGCTAGAAAACAGACGTCACACTACAACATCCAGCAATACCGGCTTACCACGATAAGGTGGAAGAAAAGTAATAGAAAAGATGGGAAACTGGTTGAAGGCGTTGCTTAGGCGGCGATCTAAGCATTTTATCAAAACAAAAAATCAAGTTTTCGAGCACAAGGCAACCGTCAGTAAGGGAACCTGTCATGCAAAACGTTACCGAAAAATTTTTTGCAATGTTTTACAAAAATGAACTTTACTTTCAATGTTGTAGGCAAGAACTCGTCCGAAGTGGGTGGTTGCCTTCCCAGTTATGATTGGTGTGACACAACGGTTCGGGTTCCGTTGCCGCTTTTTGTCATTTGTATGGTGTTTGTTTTTGGCATAGCCTTTCCGTTTGCTGGTTCGCCATCCGGCGCACTTTTCTCGGAAATTCTGGGCCCACGAAAACAGGTCTCAATTTCCATCTATTCGTTGGTTTATAGACGTCCATAGTTCCCCTTATTTGAGTTCTGACAATGTTTTTGCTTTTTTTATTTTAAGGTTGAGAAAACAAGTGTTTTTTAGGGTACGATGCAAGGATTTTACTCCTTTGGAGGTAGTGTGGCCCAGTTTGTTACACCAATCTTCACAACGTTGGTTTTTTCTCTTTTGATACTGCCTTGTTATTAATGCTTAAGAAGGCCATCCTCAAAAATTGAGCGAAAAGCTCTATTGCAATGCGAATTTTCCAATACCGTGCTCAGTACACATAATATTTAAAATTTAAAATGTGATCGCACTTGGCGTAGGCGTTCTCAGATTCCTGCCACAAGTAGATACAAGTTCAACCAGATTGACAGAAGGTTTGCTACTCTGTGACTGAGCATCTCCAATACGCCGACGATTCTTGCAACTGGCTTATTCTTTGTGCTTTCAAATGGGAATGTTCCATTCGCTTCCATTTTAATTTCCTTACCATGGGGAAGAATCACTTGCTGATCATCGCATTTCGATTCTCCGTAACACTCTCTACCATCTCATTCACATCTGCACCACTTCCACTTTATTCTATGATCTGCTTCTTATTCTCAATTATTTCTTAAATTCCACGTGAATCGTTATCACATCTACTGTGTGGATCTCAGCACTTCTTGTTTTCCGTTCGTTTTCTTCACATTAATCGTCCACAAGAGTTTCCGAACATTTTGCGCGTTTGTTATTTCTACTGCTGCTCGAGAACTTCGTTTTCTTTATGAGTGTTGCGGAATGCTGGTCGAGTCAATTCTCATTGTAGCTGCAAACATGGCCGAGCTAGCGAGCTAGGGCGTTCCCGCGTGAGTTGGGAGTCGAAATAGCGCCTTCTTGATATACTGCGTCACTAACCACTCTGCGCTAAACCTCCCCACTTTCCCTTATGGGTCCATTAATCGCCTTGTATAATCGCTAAATGCAACATCTCCAATCAAAATTTTAGTTCCATTAAATGTCTCTATGGATGATGAAGAAAAAAACGAAAAGTAATTATAAGAAACTCTCAATTAATTTAGTCATTTGTACTGCTTAGCAGAAGACCATATACTTTCTATAACTATTGATTTGTTTCATATTATAGATGTTATAATGCAGGTGTTTTCAGATATCTATTTCAACACTCCGGTTATAAGTACATTATGATCAGTCAAATAGTTACGATCGGATTCGCTTTAATCTTATTGATTGCGTTTTATAACCGATTGGTACCATTGAAGCTGAAGCGAAAAGCAGGAAAGGCGATGAAGTATAAACGTGGAGTGGTTTATATTCTATAACTAGACTTGGATAATTTATTACGGTAGTCTTTTATTTGAACAATGTAATAAAAGACGTCTATTTCATATGGCAAAGGAAAGTGTTACTATGAGGCACATTAGGAAAACAGCAATTCAAGTTAAAACCACCGTAGGGCTAAAGCGTCTTTACCACGAATGATTTTATCGCAGATAAAGTTTTATTTCTACTTAGAGCTCAGTAAGCACATTCGGTAAAAGGACAAAGGATAAAGCTTTCGTTGTTCATCAATCCCTGAGGGATGCGCTATGCATTCGACTTCACTAGGCATCATTTGGAGGTGATTGGATGCATAGCTGGTCTTTACAATGACTCGCGGCAGCCTACCGATATATCGAATCATTGCTGCTATCCTCCTAGACATGTCTGGTACCAGTTTGTTAACCCCGGAAGAATGGAAGGCTCCGACCACTGCGTCATACGCGCCTCTTGAAAGCGCTCTGAACACGGTAAAAATAAAAGAAAAACTCGATTGTTTAATTAGGGTGTTTACAACGACGACGGCTACGGTCAGTGAGCAACACAAATGGAACGATGTGAGGAAGATAACTGCTGATTACAAAAGCGGATGAGCAATCTTTATCGTGAACCATTCATTCGCAGATACAATAACAATTCTTAATCACATAGTATTGTTTGCACACCGTTTATTCGCAATGCTGATTGCTAGACTTTCGATACAGTAATCAAGATGATGCCAACGAGTGTCACACAAATACCGGCCAAAAGATGTATTATGTCCCGACGGTCCTGAAATAATATTCAAATAAAATATGCCGTGTAAATATTGGCATATTTGAAGACTTTCGAAATCGAAATCGTAATTTCCTCAAGTCTCCTAACGCCTAACCTCCTCATTGTGGCTGGGAGGTGTTTCTGGGTGCCTAGCTGCGATGTACAGCGGTGGGATTCATCGCCTGTCAGGATCTTCCAAGCTGAGAAGGAGCCCGGCGTTTCTATCGGAAAGATCAGCTGAGAGTAAACCAACACCAAGATCCACCACCGTCCTGGTATCAAGGTCGCATGGTGGCAAATCTCTCTCTGATCCACAAGAGCTGCTACTGCCTATGGTGGTGGCGACCTAGGGCAGACTTTGAGCAGGCTGACTTCGGGGCTTCAGGGAAACACAGTGGCTACACGAGCAAAACTCTGAAAAGTGGAAGTATGCTGGGGGCCATACAACCAGTGAGGACGGGCAGTCCGAACATCCAAGTAAGTACTTTCCTCGAGAGGAAACGATATCCTTTTTTTTCATGTTTCCACTTTTGTTTCTCACTTTATGACCTATTTGTATCTCTCCTTAAATTTTTGCGTAAAGAAATGAAAATAGAGATTTTCTTTAATACTTCATCAGTTCCACTCCTAATTTTTACTACGCTCGCCCTGAATTGATGTCTACTCATAGCGTCCCACATGCCACCGTAGAAAGTGACCTCAGCTTTCTTCCTATACTTTTCGCTTAACAATTATGGCGTTTTTCTGTTTTCTACATGTTGTCTGCGCTCTTTCATTCCTCGCTCCGTGTTTCTGATTGACATCCAACTGTTATGTGTGACGAAAGAAAACCCGTACACCATGCAGCCACATTGAAGTAAGGATTTGTCATCTTTGTTATAAGCAAAACATTTTTGAGTGTTTTCATTATGTTTTCTTAAGCATCCGCTCAATCTTGTACTAATAACGAGTCATTATAGCGATTCGGGTTGAGACGACAACTAACTATTTGTTGAAAATTATGCTTCACATAACAGGCGACGCTGCTTTTGGCAGTAATTTCCGTGAATTTTTTTATAGCCAAGGCACCTAAGGAGTAAGTCGACACACTCGAAGAAGAGTCTTTACTCCATCGTTCTCTTGGTATATGTGCTATTCAATCCGCTCTTTCCACGCGATAACCATGATTAATCACCACATTTGCAAAAAGCAGTGTAGTGAATAGGTTCTAAACTTGGAGGGATTTGCAATTTGTTTCCCGAGATAAATCAAATCTGATAGAAACCCTGTTATATGGCTTACTAAAGATTATTCTAGATCTACCCAAGCGATTACAGAAAACCGCTCTATTCAGTGGTCAGAAGGGCATGTACGGTGAAGATGAGGGGTTCGCATCCCAAGAGTGTCCAGAGAATCACATAGAATGAGTTCATGATCAAGGTTTACTTACCATCCAAGCATAACCTCATTCCGGAAGTCAGAACGTCTCCAGCTAAATCCTAGCCATGTCTCAGAAGAAATTGCAAGAAATGAAAACATAATGATTGCTACTATAACACTCCAAAAAGAACTAAGGACATTGAATTTACAATGTTTACTTTTTATTTTCTGCCTTCTATAGTTTTTATGGCAGGGTATTAATACAACCACAAGATTGCTGAGAATTTTCAAAATTCCGGACCGCAGGTGTCTGCGGTGGGAAGGAAAGCGCTATTGTCCTTTCCGGGGAGTAACGCGTTCACCACCACAGCGGGTCCTTCGTTTCGCCTGTCTCTCAGCTAGTCCTATCGATCAGTGCCGTCAGCAATCACCCGTCAACCCGTTAACTGAGTTCAATACCGATGTGGGCACCCCAGATCAATCCCGTTCACGGGTGATTGCTGACGGCACTGATCGATAGAACTAGCTGATAGACAGGCGAAACGAGGAACCCGCTGTTTTGGTGAACGCGTTACTACCTGGAAAGGACAATAGCGCTTTCCTTCCCACCGCAGACACCTGTGGTCCGGAGTTTTGCAAATATCTCAGCAATCTTATTTATTTACTTGGATACTTGGACGGTCTGCTACACGAGCTGTGCGGACCCCAGCACATGTTCCACTCGCTCCTTTCTCTCACAATCGTAGTCCATGGTGGTGGTCTTGTTCGAGCATGGTAGCGCTTGCGAGTCTCATACTGTGATCTGTAAAACAACTACAGCTGCGGGTACAGCTGATTAACTTTGTTCTCGAACACGTCCGCCCAACGTGCAGGTGGTCGTCCAAGAGGAGGTTTGCATTCTCTTGGAGTCCACTCTTGTGTTCCTTTCGTCCATCTGTCGTTGTTCTTCTCATTATGTGACCGGCTTATCAATGTTTCGCTGTCGATGTATATTCTCCTTGATCTCGAAGATGTGGCATATTTCGAAGCTCAGAGCTTTCCATTCCGGCTACATATTGAGAGTGCCGGTTGTATTTCAGAAAACATCGATCAAGCGCTCTGTGAGCAGTTCGAAGCAATCTTGACGTAGTTGAAGTATCAACCCACGTCTCTGCAGCATAATAGAGCGGTGGAGGACTATAGAATCAAGGAGACGAGCGCGGATTTTCGGGTCCTTCAGTTGGTCGGTGGCTTCTTTGAAAGGTCCTAATGCGGCCCAAGCTGCTCTCCTTCTTCTATCTAGTTCTTCCTTTATGTTGCTTTCCATGTTCATTGATCGCCCAAGGTAAACGTACGAGGTGGTCTCTGCAACGAGAGAACTATCCAATTCAATTTTTTCGCCTTTGCACCATGGTTTTTCATAAATTGCGTCTTCTTTCGATTTATGCGAAGTCCGATATTTTTCCCTGCTTCGTTGAGCTCTTTGGTCATCACCTCTGTTTCGCTCACACTTCTTGAGAAGATAACAGAAAATGTCGTCGGCAAAACTAGGTTTGACAGGAATTTTCCATCAATACGTATGCCTTTCTCATCCCAATCGAGTGACTTCATTATCCACTGCAGTGCGGCACTGAACAACTTGGCGATATTGTGTCGCCCGATCGAACCCCTTTTCCTATGCTTGTACCATTGTAGATCTCCCTGCAAAGCTCTTCTGCAGCTGGCATTTATTACTAGCCATGTTAAACGTGTTGCAGTAGGATCAAGCTTCAGTTTCCTTCTCTTTTCGAGCGACTGCTTAGTAGTGATGGAGATGCGATCCGGTCTTCTTGTTTGAGGAACTGAAGCGAATTCGGCACAGTTTTTCAGTCCTTCGACAAGCGGCTCGTAGTCTTCGGTCGGGTCTTCTTCAATCTGCCAGTCGCGTTTGGACAGGACTTCGTTCAGAATCTTTTCGTCGTATACAAGTGGACTTTTTCCTCGTGGTCGATGAAGAGAGTTCTTTTCCAGTTTGCGGCTGAATCGAATCTTCGCGCGAAGAAGACGGTGATCGCAACCAGTACAGAATTACGGGACTACCGATGTGTCAAGTAGGCACCATCTTCTGTTTGTCAGAATATGGTCGATCTCTGCATGAGACGTGCCGTTGGGAGACTCCCATATACATCGGCGGCTTTCTTTCTTCTGCAAAAACGAGTTTCCATGAAAGAGACGTCCTGCTGAAAGGAGTTTTGCGAGACGGTTCCCATTCTCATTTCTTTCTTTCAATCTAAAATTTTCGATCCTGTATTCGCTCTCGTTGATCCTTTCTATTCTGGCGTTGAAGTCTCCAACAACAAATTTATGATATGCTTTATCATTGCGGATAACTATCTCCAACTGGTAGTAGATCACAAGGGTCCCGTTGTTTATCTGTTGTTTGTTAGTTGTATGTTGGTCTTAATCTCAGCAATCTTAAAAGCATTGAATGCGCTGGCATATATGAAGTGTGGCTCAGTACCAAATGCGGCCAATACGGTAGTTAGTTTTGTCTCGATTGTTTAAAGAATACACGTAAGAAGTCAAAAATGGTGTACGGAAAAGTATACGAAATCGATATAAAAGTTGAGAATGGCACACAGAACATTCATTTGTAAATATCGTATGTTGCGGTGATTTCAAACCATGTATGAAGTTGTTAACTGTGATGGCATTAGGTTGCAAAGATTGTAAATATTATGTAAAATGGTCAGTCGCTAGGAGTGGAAATTATGAAACAGATCTATTTGAGTGCTATATTTATAACGCCTTGTAAGAATTGCTTCCAGGGCCGAGTTTCTGTTAACCTCGGCATTGGATTGTGTTATAAGAAAGACGCATTGATTAGCACCGATCCTTTTAAATTTACTCATTTTAGTAGTGTCGAGTCGGCAGCTATGGTACAATTGCTTCTGAGCAAGTCTGCTTCATGATTTATCATCTTATCGCGATCTTAACCGCTTAGCGTAAATGCTCAGTTACAGCCAAGACATCTACTCACCCACCCGAGTAGAAACAACATTTCCTCGACGAAATAGACTCTCCGATAAACAGTTTTTTGTAAATTATTAAGTGCATAGAATAGATTTTTAGGTCCAGTGCCGCGCAATAATCTGCGTGGGATAAGCTGTTAATTGAATACACGTCCAACGACAGACCTTTGAACGCTCAAATAAACGATCGCAGAAAAACTGAGTTAATATCAGTTCACGGCATCGCAACTAACGCTTTCCTCATGATTATGTACTTGGATCGGACTCTAAGTTTTGATAGAACATAATAGGTATACCTTGATCTCTTTGAAGAGCAGCACAGCCCATATGGAACATACAATACCGGGCGCTTTCGCTAGAATCGGATATGCAACAATCTAAATCAAATCGAAATTTGCTTTCCATCATGACAGTATTATAATAAGTATGAACGGTCCGGTAAGAAAAATTCACTTGACATATGAAATATAAATTTTCAAAAAACGATAGTGTTTGAGTTTCGTCAGCGCTGCTGTTGACAAATGATTCAACTGTTTCCAGCATGTCGCTGGACTTATATTGAAACGAAAACGAATCACGTACGTATGCATACAAACGCACGTAGACACCTACGTAAACACGCACATACATACGCATATACATACATTGCATTTATACATACATGAATACGGACGTGCATACATACATACAACTGTCCTTCCACTAAGACAGACAGACAGGCAGACAGACAGACACACACACGCACACACACGTACATACGCAGACACACCCACACAGACACCACGCCCACACACACATACACTCCTACACACACACGCGAAAGATACAGACACACACACGCGCTCAGATGCACATATAAACACAAACATACACACATACATACACATGCACACTACATACACACCAAAAAGACACAGACATAGACACGCATGCACGCACGCATGCATGCATGCACACGCACACACACGAGCACATGCTGACACGTGCACACATACACACACATACACACATATGTGCATGCACACCTATATTCACCCATAGTTGCACTTACACGTACGCTCGCACGCTTTCATAGAGAAGGCACATGCGGCAGGTGTTTCATATAATGTTAGATGTTTACCAGCGACTGTTGCTTACTCTTTTCGTCAATTAAATTATTATTCTATAATTTTACCGGGTCAAGGTGCTGATTTGTGAAGAAGAATAGAAACGTTGCTGTACCATACATTAATCCTGCTAACAAAGACGGAGCTGTTATCTCAGGATTGATGAATGGTCTATTTCGTCTGAAAAATAAGTGGGCGTATTTAGTTGAAAATAGATTTCATACAAAAACACTAACCTATACAGAGAATAAATCATAAAAATGATTGATGACATCATAAGGGCTCCAAGTGAAAAGGAAAAGAAGAATGTGGTATAAGTTTGTGGATGTTCATCAGCACCAGTCTTTCTAACCAGATGACACATCGGTGTCGTCATATTGCCGTAAAGAGCCCCAGTAAATATCGTCAATAACGTAGCACTGAAACACCGAACCTGTACTTATCTGATTCACTTGAATTGGCAAAATCGTAAGGATGCGATCTCTGAGGTAGATGAGGCGACAGGCAGATGGAGACGTTAGACAAACTTTTTATAGCAACTTTGCATGGTCTACTTCCCACCGCGGAACCGATCACTTACATGATTCGCTTAGTGGTTGATACTGTTTCCTCTTCAGGCTCAATCTTAGTACCGAGTTCGTCCGTCTTCATCTAGAATAATGAAAATGTTCAAAACTGGGAAAAGACATAAAAACCATTAATAAAGCAATAAATATTTCTAAGTGTTGGAAGGCGAGATTCGGTTTGGTGCGTCTTCTTGGGAGCCTACCGGCCGAGAAAAGTGGAGATAATTTGGAAGTGTGCTCATTTTTTATCCGACTTTTCCGTAGAAGCGTGTTATATACTCAAAAAGTTTGTTTGGATAATCAGAAGTAATCACTGGTCTTATTTGCTGCTACGCTTGAATCTGACTTAGGAATTCGTACATTCAGTTGTAAAATGGTTTTTAAGCTCCTAACCGATAGTGCTGTGTTTATTTTTCTTCGGCATCTATTTAACTGACTTTAGACCTTTTTTTTAAATTTTGTGAGAACATAGTAATCCACCCTTTGATTTTGAGTATGCTTATTACGGCCCTTAAAATGCTTTTTTAAGATTCTCTAACAGAATATATCAACGGTATAGATTTCAGTATTATGTTTCTGAACAAAGGCTTTTAGGTCAGTGTTTCGGGCACAAAAGTTCACGTCCTATTGGCTGAGCAGTGCTTCTGAGTGCGATCTGGAGAAGAAGTTCATCACATTTTCTAGGTCTTCCAAGCTTTACATTAATATTGCAGACTAACGCCTAATTTATATCATAGGAAAATGGAACAAAAAGACTAACTGTAGATAGTTGCCATGGAGCTGGTCGAACTTTCACTGGGTGATGTTTTAGGGTTGCGAAAAAACCACCGCTGAAAATCATCAGGATTTAAGTTCGAACCATTTGCAGAAAAAAAAGAAAAAACGTAGTTGTCGAAATTCCAGTGGGGATGGAGACCTTTGAGAAGCTCAATAGGTTGCAAATTTCCGAAGAAAAAAGAGAGACAAACTTAAAAAATTACATACCAAGAGGAATGCTGAGATGTGAACAAAACTTGAGACCTCACTTGGGCTTCAAACCCTCCTTTATCACCCGCTTTCGTGGGCTCACGTGCGATCCACCACGTCAATCGATCTCGTTACCTTGCCATTCTCCCATTTAGCGAAATTTTTACTCTGACAGTGTTAACAGCAGTTTCTCGCCAGCGGGAATGATCTGGGAGCAAAAACTGACGTCAAACCCAGTTCAACTGAACTACAGCAATCGAGATCACAGTGTTTGAACTCTTATTTATTGTTTATTCTAAATGGCAGGGAGGCAGTTTGCTGCAGTGAATAACACGTGAGTCCCCTAAAGGAGTAAACGCAGGCACAAAGCTCACATGGGTTCCTAGTTTTGCTCATACCTTGGCGTCCGTGGCTGCATTTTAAATTTTAACCTGCTATAAAAAATACCTAGCAAACAAAAATTAAAAAATTACATAGCCTTTCGTTTAAAATCTGAATGCTATTCAAATTCAAAACATTGCAGTTTTTTCTAATATTTGCCACCCGAAAAGGAACTATTGTCAGAACCAACCCAATACAAACGACAACGACACCGATGATGTTCATGATGTTATCGTGTGGGATTTTCTGCGCACATCCAAACAAGCCGAACCGAGCCACTGCCCAGCCGACTAGGCACGTTACCGTATTCCACATCAATGAGCCAACTGCCATACCGATTCCGTCCATTATAGTGATCGTTAATGCGTTTCCTGGACAAAGTATAAAAATAAAAGATAAAGTGTGTGCCATGCATTCGACACCATTCGGAGCTTCCTAGAGGTGGTTGAATACACATTTGGCCTATACATTGAATTGCGCTCATCTACCAATTTATCAAGCTGGTGTACTTCTTCGGAGTATTGACGTTATACGAGGTTGATAAAAATTTTATCCCGCCAGCGTTTTGACGTCCTTGTCTTCTTCAGAGCTGGACTGATCCGAGATTTTTTGAAAAGTAGCAAGCCAGCGTTGCTATTCTCTTAGATAAGTTTGTTACCAATTTTTCGCCCCATATAGGAGGCGACTGGCTCTGTGGTGATGATGTCGAACACAACGCGCATAGTGGTGGCTCGTTCCCACCCCAGGAATATCAAGCGTCTAAATCCTCCGGTGTCGGGAAAATGGTACCGGACTTCTCTGGTAAAAGTTCACCCTCTGCAACTCAAGTGGGAACGCTCTATTCCGGCTATCTCAGGAGCCCAGGAAGAATCGGTTCAACCGAAATTTGATGACCTTAATGACAGAATGAAAATCCTCAACCACAGCCGAAGCCACACAAAAGATGGTGATGGACGGATGGGAACGAACCGTAAACGAGAAATGCTGCTAATCCGCTCAGTAGATGTGAAAGACGTGTTGTGTAAAAAAATGTCATATTTCCTTTGGAGAATGCAAACAAACACTTAAAATTTCCAAGTTACGATCTATAATATTTTCTATGGACGATAATGGTTACGTTCTGTTAGAGTTTAAATTCGCTTAACCAGTACATTGAAAAAACCACAAAAAAAAACAAAGAAACACTACAACTAAGAACTTGTGATGTAGACGAACCAATGGCAAAAAATGCTCCACCAAGCATTCCAGATGGATAGACAGCTGGCCAGTGCAAAATTCCAAGCACTATAACACCGACGAACAAATGACCAATACAGGACATCCACTGGTAGTACAAACCTGGAAATAATTTTGGTCTTATTAACATTTATTTCAGTCAAAGCAGTACTCTAAGCGAAAACATGATAGAGCGTCCATTCTATTTTCTAGCTGATCTACACGATTAGGAGTCTCACAATCTTTAATTTTAGGCATCGAAACATTAAGTGCTAGGCGTTAATTCCTTGGAGCCCCATGCACACGATTCCATTCGTAGAGGTGATTGGATGCAAGTCAGGCCGGTGTAGTGATTTCCGATGGCCTACTGATCTAACAAGACAGCGTTTTATCTTGGTAGACATGTATGGTGCAAATTGAATCTTAAAGATGGGATAAATTTTGAAGATCTGAGTTGCGCATTACGGCTAGATCTTGTCACTGCTGATTAAATTTTGGAAAACAGCATTCAAGGCCTCTGGCCAAACCGCGATTGATGTAAGCCTTGGCAGGCACGGAGTCTGAGATCGAACGTGTATATTGTAGGGCACCTCTAAATACTGTAATGCGTGTGGTTTAGTTTTCATTTTTAGCGTTACGAAGAAAAAAGAGCAGTAAAAACACCAAAATGAGTTTTTTTTAAAACAGCCCATTAAAATCAAAAGACTCTTTTCCTAACACTAACAAAATGGTCAAAGTATTCTGATTTGTCTGCTTGGGATAAACCAAATATGAGAACAAAAATGGAGAAAAGATCTCTTATACCATCTCCCGCTTCGAACCATCGTACGGGTACATAACATGATCCATAGAGTAAAGTGGCTAAAATGGCAGCGCCCAAACCGAGCACGGTCTCTTGCTCTTCCATTTCTCGTTAACTGCAAGAAAAGAATACGAAGGATGAGGCCGACTCGCTATCAACTCATCACACTACGTTAATTAACATATAATTTATCCAAATCTGAGTTAGCAAGAAGTGATGGAAAAAGTCGGGTTGTAGAGAACAGCCTCACAAAAATGACCAGGCTGAGGTAGCAAGTGATGTTTGTCTGTACAAGTGTTAATGGTAGGCACGCAAATGTTGCTGTATATGCAACCGTATACACACACATACATATGCATGATTTGTCAGTACATGAACGTGTGGTGGATGAAATGTAATGAATGGTGTGTGTGTGTGTGTGTGTGTGTGTGTGTGTGTGTGTGTGTGTGTGTGTGGCAGACAAGTGGTCTACTGCAATGTGAAGAAACAGATTCTATTACACAAAGAATGGGTAATTCGATCCAAACTACTAATGGTGAAATGATAAGTGAACATTATATGTCATTTTAGCGAACAGTTAACTCGGCACATGGTCACAAGTCACATTTACATCTATAGTAAAGTACTATGCGATGTAAAACATTCCATTAGCATCTCCCTTACTGTACCTTTCCATTTCACATTTAACAAGGCTAGTTCGTCTACTGTCATTAAATGACACTCCTTAGTTACATTTATTGATGCGCTTTTTCATATTCGTAAGGTTCCGGGCTCAGTAGGAAGGGCTGAGCTACGACCTGAACGATTGGACACAGGAAAACAATGAAGACGTGCGATGGCGATTACTGTTCGTCGTTCGCCGATGACGGTGACTATTCGACGACGTTCATAGGAGTGAAAGTTCCTTGACAAAGAAATCGTCTTTGACTTTGAATAAAGTGTTCGTTATTAACATTATACTGGTTTGTCAACGAAATCTCATGAATACATGACGAAAAACTCGGTAAACATTTGCTCATACATATGTTAATCGTTTTTACGACCGAAACACGTCCGATTACGCTCGTACTTTAGTAGGACGTTCGGTTTTAAGCTCACGACTTATGAACGACGACTTATAGGCCAAGATCAATACATTCGATGATTACAAAATCACCTTTATTTCTGCTGCTTACTCTTTCCGGAGTTCTGCAAATATCTCAGGATCATTTTAGTTATATTTCACCATAGAATCAATAAAATTTTCGGATCGATTTCCATTTCTACTTCAGAGCGACGGTAAAATTCGTGTGCTAATCAACTACTCTACATGATTATCTCTAAACGAGGTAAAAGCTCTTTGCTTCGTTTACTGTGTTTTTTAAACTTTCATGCTTTTTAGTAAGATAACTGATAATTGGTTAACATCAGGAGATTATGGAAGGCTTCCACTAACTCTTTGTTCTTGTGTTTCTTAAAGCAGCCATATAGTTGTCAACATTTGGAATTGTTAGGTTGCTTAGAAATTTCTTGTGTATTTCGAGAAACTTTTTATACTCGCTCATTCCGTAAATAACTAGGATTTTTTATAGCTAAAACCTCGCAACGGTTTACCGTGGTGTCGGACTGGGATGTACAGTGGGCGATTCATTCCCTGGCAAAGTCTCCCAAACGGAGAAGGGATCCGGCGTTTCCACAAGAAAGCGTAGCTAAGAGGAAACCAATACCATGATCCACCACCGTCCTGGTATCAAAGTCACATAGTGGCAAATCTCCCTCCGATCCTAAGGGCGGCGACTGCCTACGGTGGCGAAGACCTGGGGCGGACTTTGGCCAGAGTGACCTCGGGATTCCAGGAAACCAGAATGGCTTAACCAGAAAATCTCCGAAAAAATGGAGATTACGCTGGGATCCGCACAACTAGTGAGCATGGGTCATCAAGTATCAAACATCAAGTAAGATTGGAATAAAATAAGAGCTTTTTAATAGCTCCTTGGATTCCCAATTAATGGACATGCTTGGAAAATGTCTTTGTAAACTATTAACTGTAAAGAGAGAATTTCAATTGGCACGCCTGAAATATGATTTGCTTTAGACAAGCTATCGATTCAGTGCAAAATGTGCTGTTAAAAAAGTCCTATTTAGTGAAATAAACCTTTGAACTGCATTGCATACAATGCATTTCGTCCAGTGTTCCCCACCAGGCATAGTAGCAAGCAATGCATTCGGAGTGTTGTGTGTTAGATAAGTAAAACACTGTACTTCCCAACGTATCAAGACTCGTTAATATTACTAGAAAGTGATGAAACGTTATGTCTGAAAGATGAGTTGCTGTGAGGTTCAGCTCAGAATTCCTACTGTGATGTAGAAGAAGGATCTATACATCAACAGAGAAGCCTAAGTGGAAAAGAATTTCGACGACAAACGTCCCACATCGGAATAACGCTCGGAAATTTGGGAACAGCGTCATCAGTCAAGACGGAGATAATGTAACTGGTTGTCATTGACGTCCTCGACAAGTGTGGCTAAGGACTTTCATCTCTCGAAAGTCACTAAAGTCATGGCATAGTTCATTGTTATCACATTGTTAGCACGCATTTATCACAGGACGCGAATACTTTAAATGATGTTAATGTCATTCCGACTATTATTTGAACATCTGAAATAGAATGATGACTTTGCATTCGCATTCGCATTAGTATTCGTGTTTAATTTCTAATACTTTTGCAGATTTAGTATTGTTTTTTTTGGTATTCCAATAGAATGTGGATCGGAAATGTGTTAAGCGTTTAGCATAGGCTATACAAAATAGAATTGAATGACAACGGATGAATCCAATGAACCGCAGCGTGGTGAAACCAGGTGTTTTGGTGAAACCTTAAGAATTTAGATAAATTACTCAAAGTGAGCCATATACAGTAACCTAAACCTCTAAAAACATAAGCATCCAATTGTTGTCGTTTGTCTGGTTAACAGTTGAGCGCTATGCTAAGAGTAATCTTGTTTCCAGTTCATTGTTTGTAATCATTTTTACCAACTATTCTGTACACGTGGGCGTCGCCGTTTATGTGGTACGGTAGCTGCCTACGGTATTCTTGAACAATAGAATGTTAGCATTGAATCAACTCGCACGAATAATTTAGCCCATCGAAGGCAATAACACAGGGTCCAATATGAAAAAGAAATCAAGCTGTGTTCCGTTCAGATATCGTTCCAGTTGCTGATAGATCCTAAAGGTCATTAACACGGCTGAGAGAAAGGCGAAACGAAGGACTTGCATGCGGTGGTGGTGAATGCGCTAGCCCGGATAGGGTAATGGTGCGTTCGTTTCCTATCGCAAACACCTGCGGTC